GTGTTTTGAAGTGTTGAGGGGGGGTTACTATAAAAATGCTAGGGCTGAAGCCCCCCAAACTTTAAGGTCTAGTTACGCCTATGCTTAAAAAGTAATAATTGATACAAAAATTTAAATTTAAACATATTTATAAAATCAATACATTCATTGATCTGCTCAGAACCTGAAAAGTAAAAGCTGTTTATATTACTTAAATATACCTAATTTTCATGATATTTATATGTTTGAAAACTATTTGGTTTGTATTTACTTATAAATTAAATTTGGCGCCAAGCTAGGTTGTGTTTGGCAAAAAGCTATATAGCTCGAAGGCTGAAGTTTTTCACAAAATCACGGAACCTACCTAAATTATTTAAATACACACTGTAATACTGTATAATAATATATAAAATAATAGACTAAGTGACCGGCTTTCCAATTATTAATTAACATACTTACTGTACAGTAGTACCTAAGTATTAATATTTAATACATACCTACCTTCTTTTTTTACTTTCTCTCCTCGAAACACCTCTTTAAAACAATGTCTAAAAATTAAACGATATAATATATATTATAGTATGGAGATTTGATTATAAAAATATAAAATAAATGGAACCTATCTACCTAATTGATATAATATAAATTGTATAAGGTTCATCGAAGACTAGTTAACAGTGCTAAAAAAATAATGATAATAATTATTATGATGCCGTACTAATATTGTGTATGCATTTTGATATATACCTTCATATAGATATGCCTACTCTATTCACCACACATTATATTAGTCACCGCTTATTCTAGATAAATCTGACATAGAGTTTTTTGTCCGGATTAATTGTTGGTTTATTGAAGACCTGAATTTGAGGTCCTATAAGAGTGTAATCCATATAATATTACGCGACTGTCTAGATTATTCAGAAACGGATATTAAGCGGTGACTATATATATATTATACCGTATCTATAAATTATAGTTCAAATTATTATGTTTAAAATTATAGTGTCGTCATATTCATACTTATTGATTATAATATGTTACTTATCTAGTTTGTGTACAATATATAAAATAGATAAGAACTGTAATTTATAAAGTAATGTACCTATAAATGTTAATCGCACAAAACCGGACTACCATAGTGTTAATTTGGGCCTAAAAATACCTATCTAGTACCTACATTGCTGTTGTGTAATTTTTACGTAAATTCTCCATCTCTAATCGTGAAAATTAAGGACCAAACAACAAATATGTTAGAAAGATGACGATACAAATATTACAAAGTCATAAAGATTAAGAGTGGAAGTGGGAAATGTATTTAGTCGGTGACTATTATAGTTGCCAGAGATAAAGAATATTTAAGATATATTTTAAACTGTATACGCCATACAGTGTACTTCAAAAGGTACTTAAGTTAATGGTCTCAAACTTACGGCTCGCAATAAAAATACATTTTGAACAAAAATATACGAAAAAATTCTAAAAACGTTAAATTTTAATTCTAATTTTTTTCAATGATAATTTTGTAGTAATAATAAGTGAAACAAACAACTACTTTGTTTATATTTTTATAAATGATTTTTCTATAGTAATTATAATAAAAGTAATTTCATAAAATATTAAGTCATATTTAGATAAATGGATATTGCAGTATGTATCTTTTCCATCATTTTGTCTTCAGTTTTTCGTGTATAAGTAAAAAAGAGGACACTTAAAATTTGGCCAGCGAAGTTTTTTTGTAAAAATATATTGCATTTAGATAATTTGAGTTTAAGATCACTGTTATAAGTTATAAGTTGTATTATTTATGAATATATAGGTAGTATTAGGTACAATATAAATTATAATAAATATTTGTCAATTAAAAGACTGGGCACCCATCATAGAAGACATATGTATTAAAACCGGACTACCTATTTAAGGATGAAGAAAGTGTGATTTGACTGATTTCCAAAGAAAAGGAGAGGAGAGATTTTAATATTTTGGAAGAAAAGAATGTTTATATATAATTTACAGAATAAAACAATATTCAATAAACTCTGATAGTCCGACCTGAGATTTATTTAATAATAATATGTATATCAATGTTTATTACTATGTTAACAAATAATCACAATTAATAGTCACAAAATAATAATGCATAATAATAAAAACATCGATTATATATTTATAGAGATAAAAAATTCCAATAAATATAAAAAGTATATTCGGAGATTCCTTATCAATTATAATAATATTTGGTAATCATACATTATGATTCTACTTATTGTTTAGATAGGTATAAATATTTCAAAGTTATATCATTTTAAACGCAAGAGTCTAATATCATCGATTTAATATTACTATATACGTCCAACCTATACAGCTATATACGTAATAAAAAAATTGTAACATATACTGTGGTATTTATACTAACTACTAAGCAGGCACTAACCATAGGTATGCCTATCTATAATTGGCCATAACTATTCTATGTCCTATGCTGTCGTATACTCGTATATTATATAATATATATATATATTAAATAGGTATACATGATACATCACTATAATAATAAATAACTAATTTAACATGTATTATTTAAGGTATCGGTATTATGTTGTAATCGTTATATACTTAACCTAATTAACCTACAATATTATAATTAAAATGATGACTTATAGTTTGATTTAGGTATACAACATAAGTCAAAATAAAATAATAATGTCGTCAACTCTCAAACATACGTTAAACATACCCGAAGGAATAGCGGTTATGCATGTAAATATGTAATATAAAAATAATAATTTTATTTACATCGATTTTATTCTGCTTAGGCGTGCTTTATTATACTTCTTATAGATTTTCTGAAAAATTTCTAATAACCCGTAAAAAATATTGATTTATTTGCCGATTAGTACCTATATATTGGCAAGCAAACAATACGATTTGGGTGTTTATTTCCTGTGTGCATAAAGGTGATTTCGATAGCTCAGAGATTGTATTTTTATGTCTCAAATGTGACATCGTATAATTATTACAGCATAAGTACGCATAAGTACTAATTACACATGAATACTATGTGATTTCCAATAATGTTATAAACAAAATGGCATATAATTATATTCTCTGAGATGTCACAAATTGATTTCTATGCGATTTAAATTTGTAATAACAAATTGAAATAGGTACTCATAATTATTTGATTACTATGGGTGTTGTACTGTAATTGTATGCGGAGTCGTATCGATCGATCAACTTGCAATAATGATATTAATTATTACCAGGAAATATGATTCAAAGGAAAAAAATTATTTTTAGCACTAGGTTTACCTTAAACAAAAAAAAACCAAAATTAACTAAAATGTCTAAGTTTTTGTCTTCAGATGTGGCAAGTGTTATCATAAATCATAACTAAGAAGTGACATGCAAAAAAGCGAAAATAAACAGAAAAATCTAGAAATAAGCATTATTTAAAAAAACGTTGAAAAAGCAAAAAAAAGGACTTTCAATTTTCACGATTGAACGTGTTGTATTGTTGTAACATGACATACACTTCCATAATAGGTACTCATCGGCTAGATTTTATATCAAATCTTAAAAAAATTACAAATGCAAATGCGAACCGTACCTATTGGCTATTACTAGAGCAAGGACTTTAATGCACTAAAAAATCATCGAATAAGCATTTAAAAACATGCACTTATGCATTAAAAAATTAAAAATATGCGGTTAAATATGCCCTTAAAAAAATTAATTTTATTATTATTCACTGTAAGTAAATTGATTTCAATTTTTTTTGAATGTCGGATCCCATTCTTCTTAATTATTATCCGTTGAAAATACAGATTCACCAAACTCGATTACAAAATTACACAAACAATTAGCTTTTGTCGATTTTTCTTTTGGCATATTACTCACGAACGTTAAAAAAAATTAAACTCGCGGAACTTACGCCACACATTTGGCGAATCTACTAAAACTAATCTAATCCACCCACTGACTATAGATAGTTACTTGATACTATGGTTTTCATCCTACGTACCTACTATTCGTTAAATAAAAATACAAAAATAGACATAATAATAAATACTGACAATTATTATTATTTCCAGATAAAATTTATCTCTATCGTCTTTATAAGTTTATAACAAATTGTTGATCTTGATTCATGGAAAATATTTACCAAAGTGCTCGATATTCTATAAACCATCAAAATATGCACTAAAAGCTTAAAATATGCTTTTTCAATCAAAATTATGCCCCTTAAACCAAAAAATGTCCAAATATGCAAAAATATGCACTAAAAACTTTTAGCTTTTAGTCACAAACGTTGTGAAAGGTATTGTGTGCTTACTCTGCATACGTTTAACTAAACCAGAAAAAACATGCAAATGCATGAAAGTCCTTGCTCTAGCTATTACTGTCGCCTATAAGGTCCGGATGTCCATGCCCTAAAATATCTACAAAGATGCATTTTCTGACATAAAGAATAGAAAAATCTTTCCTAAATAATAAATAAAATATTATATATTTTAATGACCTAGATACTTAAAATAACTAAAATAATTTATTGATTTTTATATTAATAATTACAATAAATTATCATTTATTTTATATCCGTCATTCATCTAAAAAATTTACGTCATACGACCCCATAAATATTTTAATGTCTTCAGGTAATAGCTAATTATATTATAAAACATTGAATGTATATTTATTATTATTGTCATTATTATTATTATTATTATTATTATTATTGTTATCATTATCATTGTTATTATTACTATTATTCGATATATTAATCTCTCATTTTTATTGTGTTATATTTTACTATTTTAAATTATATTATATTATTGTTATCTTTACAAATATATTGTGAATTGGACTTTTGTCCGTTTAAATAAATAAATAAATAAATAAATAAATAAATAAATAAATATTACATATAAATTATATCAGATGTACTTATTTTGATTTAAGTTTTAATTTCAAAACGGGTTCTAATCTAAAAAACAATATTATTTAAAAATGTTTTTATAGGTATTTGAGAATAGTAGGTGGGTAAAATTAAATAAAAATAAAAATGTAATGCTAATATATTCATCCTGTACATTTTGGAGAGTAATTTTTTTATTGATTTGATGTATATTTATAAATATAATATAACGGAAAGAGAATAAACTGTTGAGTTTTCTATTGATCGGTGAAAATGCCCAAAGAGTACGAAAAATGATCTTAAAAAAGTAAAAAGACCTAAACAAGAAAAAAGCAAAATAAAAACTGGTTAAATGGATACGTTTAAGTTATTGAAACACATTTGAAGCTTGGAAGTCTATGTCGTTTAAAAAAATGCAAAAATCAATATCCAGGTCCTACTTATTATTTTCTTTTGCTGTAAGTAATATATTATATTAAAATAAACCAAACTAATAAGTAATATCTAAGGAATATTAATTATTATGTAATACGCATATGGCATATCTAGCTATCAATAGATAAATATTATAATATTGATAAAATAAGTAGGTACCTACGAGGTATATATCTATAAATACAGCATAATTCAATAATGTAGGCACGGTACGATTGCAGGAGTCATTTGCCAATCATTACGGTTCTAGATCTATATATGGATGCGATATATTAGGATTTGCAATCACACAATTCGACGTGCTTTAGACAGACAGGAATCTATGTACCTATTACCTATGAATATTATATGGATCTTAAACTTCTTCAACGTTACATTACATAACGTGTATGGGCAGTTGCGGCGACCTTAAAGTGTCAATCGGTCGTACCTTTATATAGCCTCAAGTCGGTAAACCGCGTTCCCGTTGTAGTGATTATATCATGCGATGACATGCATGATGTATAAAGTATAATATTGTACAATAATATGAGTAAATGTGTAATATTGTGCATAGGTAGGTCGTTGGGTATGAGGCTGTGTCGGTTCGTCATGTTTTCGTTTTCTCAGCGCTATGCCACCATCCCACCGACCGGTCGGGTGATCGTCCGCACAATCGTTTAGGGCAACGTCGTCATCGGGTCTCGCCGATGAGGCGGGCGCGTGAGCGGGGTACATACCAAACAAAATATGTGTGTCTGTGTGTGAACCGGTGCCCGCCATATAATAATAATAATAATAATAATAATAATAATAATAATCATAATATAATTATCATAATACGTTGCGCCGTATAGAACGACTCACAGAAAGAAAAAAACCAGAAATCGTTAACGAGCACAGGTGTGCTGCATCTTACAGGTAGTTGTTGGTCGTCCGTTGCTCAACGAGTTTTCATCTACGCACACTACGGCCACAATGATTGTAATAATAATAATAATAATACACATGCGAGCGCACTACATAGGACGACGATGACGGTTGCTTCGGATACCTGTTATAACATTAACCGCGGCGGATGTGGCGGCGCAGCAGTCGTTGTGCCGGATCTCCACGCTCCCACCGGCTGTAGCCACCATCGTAATTTCGAACAACGCAATCGTCGAAGCGGTCTCGTCGGTTTTTTAATAATAATATCCTTTCCCCCGTTCGCGGTGCAGTCGATGGTGGTTTCGTGCGCGGGTGTGGTGAGGGGGAGAGGTCGGCCGGACGCGCGCACGCACACGCCGACCGAAGTCACCGAACGGCGAGCAGTCGTCTTGATGTTTTCGCCGTGGCGTAGTCGACTGCTGTTCGGCCGAATCTAGACAGTATCGTATGCGTGCTTTGAGTGTTATGTTCCACTGCGAGTTGAGCATCAGCGGCAACGGAAACAGCACATTCGTCGACATCACCGCATAGTACCTGCTCAATACTATTAATAATAACGGCAGGCTGCGGACGATGGCCGCCACAGCGGTGACAAGGGCTCAAAACCGGGCCATCGCAAAGGTCAGTAGTTACAAGTTTACCTAATGTTATTATATTCTTACAAGACGTACAGCCATCGATGTAATAATTATTACTATAGTGTATATAATATAATAAGTACCTATAGATAGATGGCCCGATGCCGTCACGCTGAACGTAGTATGTTCTCAAGCAGTACCTACCTAGCGTCAGTTCACATTTATAATAATTATTGTTATTTTAAACCCCCCCTTTTTAATGTAATTACCTATACTGTGCTAATGCCATACAGTCCGTAATCGTGAAATTCACCAGCAAACTCCGCTATCATCAGATCTATTTATTTGTTTTTTGTGTGCTTGCGTGCGGCGTGCGTGTGTGTGTGCGTGCACAAGATTCCCCCTAGCAAGTCCTCCTTCCATCATCGGCCGTGTAACTGTGCGCGTATAACGGGTCCGTCCTAAATTATTACCGCTGTTTATCGCTGCTTCCACTACTATATTATTACTATTTATTACTAATCATTATACTATTGTACCTGCAGATACCAGCTACTATTATTATGGGTATATCGGGAAATCTGTACATGCCCAACTCGGTGGTCCAAGTGCACAGTACACACAATAATATATTAATATAAACTTCTAAAATGTAAATAATAATATATTATAATGAAAAGAACGTACAGTGTAATTGTGATTAAGGTGCCTGCATAAATAGGTAATGTCCATGAAACATCGTGTGGCAAAAAAAACGAGAAAATATTATAAAATATAAAATACGCATGGTACAAGTTGAATTTATCAATAGTAGCCAATAGGTATTGTAGTATCTATAATAGTAATAGTAGTAATAGTATTGTAAATTGGTCATTGGACAATATAGGTAGGTGCTATTCAGAGGCTTAGAGAGTGTGATGTAGGTTGGTAGGTATACAATAATAATATATATTGAGGAATTACATTGGTATACATCGTCAGCTGCAGTAGCCATAAAAATTGTACAGCATCGATATACGTAGGTACATAAAACGCGTGTCAACCCGTTACAATGTACCCGTTTACCAGCACAATAGTTTCGGAACGCGGCTGCGACGAAGAGTGTATAATACACTAATATACTATGTAGGTATACCACCTACCTGTTGCGGGATGTAGTACACGAATAATACCGGCTGTGTACGTATCTGTTTTTCTATCGCCGACACAACAGACGATTGCGGACAAAGAGCGTTGTAATAATGTACTAATGAATATGTACTGCGCTGTGATTGTACACTTATAGTACGTAGGTACATATACTTATAGTTGAATACGGTAACAGCTTGCCCACAGAACATTATTTATAACACTACAACTACAGTAATCAGAGGAGACTCCCCAAGTCGTACCTACCTCGCAGCTGTGTAGAAAGCGAACCGAGAAATTATTTTCATTGTTCAGTTATATTCGTTAGGTTTAGAGACCGTGTCACCACAATATATACACGCATTATAATATAAACTATATGGCATAGTGCATACATCTACGGTTTTTTAAGTACAGGTATAGGTACTTGTATTTGTTTTGAAACTTACATCTGTTTCCCTTTGTGTGTTCCCGGATCAGCATCACCAACCAAGTGGGAACATGGCTGCTTTGTATATTATATACGTTTACCTAATTTGACTTGATTCGTGTTTATTAATGTTTTCAATTGTTCGTGGTCATATAATATAGGGCACAGATCCAAAGGCGGCAACTTGCCGGGCAAAGTTGCAACGAGCTCGGTCTGCTCTGAACCGGCAAATGGACCGGGAGCTGCGGTTACGCGAAGGCGCCGAGAACCTGTTGCGGTGAGTATAAAATACATAAGAATTTCGTTTTCCCAATGATCGTGAGCCTCAACGCCTCATGAAATAGACTAGTTGGGGTGATACGTTAATATATGCGGTGAATGACGTTTTTCATGTTAACCTTATGGGTTACATACCATACGTACTATGTACCTACCTGGGCATGGGCGGATATGCCCATCGGAAAATCGGAGTTTTCCCGGTAGGCCCTCATAAATCTTATACTCAGAGGTCCCAAGCCCAAAATATAATAATAATAATATACTTAAATATATATGTAAAAGTAAATTTGTATAATACTGGCTGGCGCCAATATACATCATCGATTTGTTCTATTCTTAGACAATCCGTATTAATGTGAATGTCTAATATATAATTTTCTCTTACATCAACATTAATAAACAGTATAAACTATAAAGTAAGCAAGTAAAATCATATCATTTACCTATTCTTACTCTATGCCCTATGGTATTATTTAATATTTTATCAGGTGTTATTATTTTTATTTTACTTTTGCCATTGGCTATTGTGACTGTCGCTTTTTGCTAATTGTGTTTTAATTTATTAAATGATATGTATGATAAATATTAATGATGTCCAAACGAAATTTCGAAAGTAGGGCTTCAAAAAAAAAAAAAAAAATGGATCAAGATAATAAGTAGATGTGCCAACAATAAAACTCAAAATGGTTCAATTTGGTTTATATACAGTATATAGGCACTAGGTATACGTGACCCTAATAAATATATCCCGGTAAAAAAAAAGTTCTTATCCGCCCATGTACCTAGGAACCTTAGAGTTCCTAAAAAGCTTAAAATGAAACGTGATAATTATGTTATGTAAACTTACGGTCCGAATAGAATTGAGCTTAACTGTACGGTGTAAGTGGTACCTATAGGGAAAATTATTATTAAAAACGAAAATGGTGGTTAACTAGAAGTTGACCACTGCACAGTATACAATGCATTCACTGATCTAGAATATTTTACGTACGTTAGAAATCATCGTTTCAAGAAATCACGTTTCATGATGAACTCTTATTTATTCTGTGTGTCTTCTTAATAATAATATTTGTTATGACGGATGATTTAGGGCCACCACCAAGGATGGCGGTGGTAGCGATAACAGTGGTATCGTCGGTAGTGGCGGTGGCCTTAGAAATAAGAGCAAAAGCAGAAAGCTCATCAGGCAAACGGTGGCACTAGAGCTAAGTTTCCTAGATTCCAACGTTCGATTGCTGGCTGACGAGCTGGCGGAGCTCAATGGTTCAGTTGACGTGTATCAGCACCGAGACGATGACGACGACAATGAAGATTGTTTTGACGGAAGCCGTAGTGATCCTGCCATGGTAGGTGCTAGTGCGGATGGTACAATGGCGAATCGACGTCGAATGCACCGGCAACGGTTAATGCCTATGATTGCAGTACCGTTGAAAGATACCAGACCCATAGATTTTGGACCACCACTCGAGGTAATATTATTTTGTCACAGATTCATAGCCTATCCGAGTTGCATGTGCACTTCGCTTTATCATCATATTACGTATGAGGCAGTTGCGTATCCAAATAATAGATTTCTAACAATACTTATAATGACTTAAGCATGTTATCAATCATTTAGAAAACTTAGCGATATGAAATCTTTTTTGTTTTTAAAAGAGTAAGTACCCCACTGCCTCATGCCCTCATACACACAATTTCAAATACCTACGCATCTATTCGGTTTCTTCGACTCTACTTTTATATTATTCCCAACTAAATACAATTTTCGTGGCGGGCATTTTATGTATTATATAGCGGTTCATCAGTCAACACTATGGCGTGGATTTGTCAGCGGCACCGGAAGAGACCAACACTGGCCAAAGCGGTGTGGGGGACGACGGAGACAACTACGATAACAACGGTGGCGCGGTGCGGCGACGTTCGTTGTCGCTACGCGAAGCCATTGACGAATTGACGCAGCTCCGAGTGGTATGTTTAAAATATACGTGTTTTGTTTACTCACATTCTGTTATAATAATGTATGAAGGGCGAAGGGTGTGTTAGAAAAAGTTGAAATTGAAATCGTCTCATAGAATTAATGTAATTGAAAGCTTAAAGGTAAAATGGGAAATAAACGTATGATGTGAAACTTAAAAAACGTAATGTGATTTCGTTAAGTATATGAGCAATAACCCGTTTTACTAAAAATTATTAAATATGCTTATATCCACGGAAGAATAGCGTGCCTATATATAAAGATAATTTGATATTTACAAAACCAGGTGACAATGATATTATCATATAATATGTCATAATATTTTTTTGATATTATGCTATTAGAATAATGTCAAATATTTAGTCCTGAAAAAAACGTTACCATGATTTTAGGGTGCATTGGTGTGAGATAATGTATTTTAAAAAAAATCTCGCGATACTGTGGAAAAGTTAAATCTAAATTTTGAACTAGGTATTTACGTAAGCAATAAAACATACTTTTGAGGATAAGCTCCAGCCTCAAAACCTTTAATACATACATAGCTATACGTATACGAGTATTATTGAACACATTGGACGTCGAATATACCCAAAGTTGAACCCATCGTCAACATTTTACAGGACACACAGACGCCTAGCAGAGACTTGGATGGCGTTCGACTTTTGCTGAGGTACTACAGGCAGCTGTACTACGTTGACCGCAGATTTTTCCCACCAGCTTCGTTGGCGGTGCCGGTTACGACAACGTCGCGACATTATCACCAACATAATCGCCAGCAACAGGACCCCAATTATCGTCACGTTAAGCAACAACAGCAACAGTACTCGGCCGTCATCGGCTCGTCACCACCACCGGCCATTTATTTCGAATGGTAATTATTATTATTTTTTAATTTATGATAAAATTACAAATTTACAAACATATAAAAACAACTATATAGATGCCTATAACCAGCATTAACATTTTATGACAGTACAGTCTTAACAACAACTTACTCTAATCGTTTAATATTAATTGTATTTATTAGTAGGTGTATGGTAATTTTTTCGAAATGTCATTATACATAATATTTGTTTAATAGTTGTATTATAGTAACTACTGATTCTTAATTATATACGATTTATCGTTGACTAAACGAACAGTCATTGAAGTCCATGACAATGGACTTGCTCAAATAAAAATTTTCTTTAATCACGATTTTTAAAAACACACTTAATTTTAAGTATTGGCTATCTGATTGTTTTTTTTATTATTTCTATAATTTCTATGGATGATTATAATAATAATAGACATTATTATCTAAATCAGAGGCATTCGATCCTATTGGACTCGTAACCCATTTAAGTATTATTCATTTATTGCAACATTTATTTTATTTAGTGCTACTATTATCATTATTTATTTATGTTCATTTTATTTGTTTTATGCCTTTAAACAATTGAATAGAATACATTTTTACTTAATAAATATAATTAAATGATAATATGTAACAACATATTATATTTATTTTTAATAATTAAACGTATTTCAACAACCACTACCACCAAATTCTAAAGCTCAAGCTACCCAAAATCTAAATCATAATAATATACATGCCAGTATACCAACGGGTGCTATCAACGTTTTGTATTTTATTTTTATGGCCTTTAATTAATTTGTATTACAAAGTTGAAACTATACAAACTGTAATAATACTATAAAAAACTATATGGTTTACGGTCCAAATATTATGTGCAGCCATACAGGTGTAAGTGTACATCATTATGCAATAACAACGTTGATGAAAATCAAAATATAGCTCATCACGCTGACTTAACTCGAAATAATTAAAATATTAAAAACCGAATTCGCTGCAAGCAATATTCAATATACTAGTGTGTTGGTAAAAACAAACAACAATTATGCCACAAACAAACATACAGCCATAACATTTCCAATTGTCATTCAAACTCATTTCGTCCCTGCGTTAATTAAGGTACGATTCGTTTGGTGGTCCAGTGCCGTCTTGCGGACAACGCACCGTCCGGTTTGAGCAAGCTTGCGTACTGTTTAACGTGGCCGCGGTGCACACGCAAATGGGCGCCAAGCACGACCGCCGTTGCAGAGATGACGCAGACGACGGTGACTACGACGACTACAGCATGAGCATTGGCTCTGGCAAGCGGACCGGCTCATCGTCCACATCGACCGGACCTGAAGCGGCCGATGGAGCCGCTGCCGCTGCGCAGTGCTTTCTGCGAGCGGCCGGAGCGTATCGGCACATCGGCGACACGTTCGCCAACGCGCCCGCCCGGGCAGCCGATCTGCGAGCCACAGGCGTCCTATACGCAGTCATGATGGTCAGTGATGTTGATTTATTATTATTGATTTTATACTTATCGGCACCATAGACCTTATACTACCGTGGAAAGGGTAACAACAAAGTGGGCGCTTTTTGATTACTCGATTACTCGTACGCACGGTAGTGCGGGGTAGGAGGGTAAGGTATGTAGATTAGTGTATTTTTTCTTAAAGACATCCTACATCACTTGTTACGCAGCCCGCAAGCTGTTGATATAAAGTTATTGTCTAGTAGTATAGGGCCTATGATCGACTCGACCTCGGCTTAATTACGTATAGACAGTGTCGATGGTAAAGAGGCCGAAAGTCGTATACGTTTGTGTTTGTCCCAAAAGAATTAATATCATAATTAATACTTACTGAAACATTTAAATTTATTTATTTTTATAAAATACCTACTTCGCATTATATAAAAGCAGTTGATCTGCAGTTGAACGATTTCAAAAAAACGCATTTATTCTGAAACGATTATATAGATACGTGAGTCATTTGTATGTTTAAACAAATTTGAAATACAACAATATTCGTTAGATCCATATGTCATACAACTTTTGGACTAATAATTATGGCGATTGAACTGCATTATTGCAACATAATACATTCTGTTGATGTCCTTGTCGCTTACCGCATGTATTCTATAGGCTCAGGCTCACGAATGCGCTTTCGAGAAATTACAATGGCGGTTCTTGACGTCCGTTCGGCATCGATGTCGTCGTCAACGTCATCGAGGCGACCGATCCAAAGAAGCTGAGGCCGAATCTGAGGGGCTTGGCAGTGGTGACCGTCGTGGCCGTGGTGACGGAGATGCCACAACTAGACGAACGTCGGCATCAGGACGTGTCAGTGGCGGTAACGTCGGAGGAATGTGCGAAGTAACCTCAAATACACCTTCGTGGACAGAGTTGGCTCGTGAAGCGGCCCACGTGAGTAGCTACTCATTTACATATTATTACATTATTACGTACCTATTACAAAACGGCCCTGCTCGTTTCTTATGAGGGGCAATATTTAGGCAATGTGCAATGTTATCGCCGCCACCGGCCGTGGCATTCGGGTTAGCCGTAAAGGATTATTATTTATTAGTATTGAGTGGGACATATCAACGGCACTTCCAACCAAAAAAAATTGAGCTTGATTTTTTGTTCAATACACGCTTTACAGAAAATTTTTGTACTTCGTAGAGTGGCTTCATTTCATTAATTTCCATTTGTTAGTAAAAGAATAAGATTCTAAAGACTAAAAGACGCATTAGACTTTGATTCTTAATTACGTTCATTACGACCATAACTTATGAAAATTGACTGTATATTAAAAATCTTTTATTATATTATGGTCTAGTAAAAAAATTTTGAAAATCGAAGTCCCATGTGGACTATAAAACATAATCTTTCTCTTCGCAAAAAAAAATGTTAAATTATCAAAATCAGATAACTACCACACGAGGCGTGAAAGTTTTCCTGCAAGGAATGTTGTATGCTCTAACCGTTTGCATTATTTATTTATTGAAAGTAACGCCCGCGAGGGCAGAGAGTATGGTTTATACAAGTTGGAAATAAAATAATTCGAATAAGTAAAAAGCTAGTAAAAATGTTCAAGTAATATAATAGAACAAACTAAAAACAGAGTAACAGTTTTTTCAACTTACGATTATCGTAGAAAAAGAAATCGAAGTCAGATAGATTATAATCGTTACAATAATGTAGAATTCTTCTGATGATGGGACTATGACGAACAATTATTTAATACACTACCTATTTTAATATTTCATAACCAATTTTTTAATACATTTGTATGTTAATAATAGTTAAAGTTTTAAGTTTTAGTAAGTTATAATTTATAATTTAACTAAAACATTTTTTTCATGAACTCATAAATATTTGCACTCGCTTTTGAAGAAATAAACATAAATAATTAATTAATTGTACCTCACTTAAATTGTAACTGCAGTAACTTGTAATCGGTAACAATTTTTCAAAGCACCTTCTAAATTGTATCCAGTTACAATAATCGAGTAATTTGAGTATATCTTTGGCCATAATACCTATATACTATGACTACGTATATTCGAAACTGCGGGTCACTGTAGAATAATATTTCTTTTTCGTTACGAAGGTGTCACGAATGTACGGAGACGTGGTGTACAACAGCTGCACCCGCCAGTCCAACGAAAGAGCCACTCATCGTGGTAAGGAAAACGGTGGCGAGCAGAGAGTCACGGCGACACCGGTGTCTATGTTACCAGACGTCTGGGTAGCCGTGTGCCGGATTAAAGACCGGCACTACGCGGCGTTGGCGTACCGTTACGCCGCGTGCGCCCTGCTTCCTTACCGCCGATGCAGCGCGGATGGACAGCAGGACAAGCAGCACCATATGGGTGGTGCCCGGCGTCGTGGCACTGTCGACTCGGACGCCAGCCAACTGTTGACTGAGTTATCGGCGGCTGCGGCGGCCGCGGGCCTTGGGGTGGCCGATGACGACGACGATGACGAGACGACCTCAGTGGCGGTGCAACAGCGGCGGCGTCGCAATCAACTCGGTATACTGATTCAACCCTAAATTATGTTCTAGAGTTAACCGGATGAGTGGCTAGGAAGGTGCATGCGGCAGGTTAAAGCTCTAAGGGTGTAGTTTATAAAAGTCTTCTCTGGCCTCCCGTAAAAGATAATATTATTATAGCTAGCAGTAGGTCAATCTTAATCACGCTGTATGCGTTTTCATCATCGTAAAATATTACTTATATTTTAACAAGTTGTTACTGCAGGGTTCTATATAGAATATAAAGAAGTTTTAAATTTTTCTGACGTTTTTAACTTTTACATTTTTACAGTGATATATGACAAAAAATATTCTATGGAGATGTTAAGCAATTATAAACATGCATAATGCATATATTTGAATAATATATCTATAGCTGTACATTTAATACATCTTATATTTATAAATTATAACTATCTACTGTATTATAATCTGTTTTAAATTAAATTCAACAATGATATAGTGGTTTTCAAATTCAATGGATAGGGACAGAGTACAAGTCGATACAAAATTACATTTAAAAAAAACATTGGTTTTTGTTTTATTTTAATTTTAATGTGAACACGTTACCTTAAGTCCTTGACTTCACTGCTATCGGAAATACAATGTTGTTATTTTAAGTCTACTAGTGTGCTATTAGTTTTGAATTTTTGGTATTAGAGAGAATTGACTTATTATCAAACTTTTAAGTGTGTAAGACGGAGTTAACACATGCGGGTGCGATGTCCTCTTAATTATTATTATCATAGTTTCGAATGAAACCGTTATTAAGTCTTTCAACGGCGTTGCAGGTAAGCTGTTGCTAGAGGCGGCCGCAGCGGCCCACGACAGAGCGGACCGCGCACTGCGACTGTGCCGGCAGCTCCGGGCCAAAACCGAGGGGAATACATCGGGCAGCGGCGGTGGAGGTGGTTTGCTGGCCGGTGTGTTGGACCGGGAACGCCAGCGAACAGTACGGTTGTTGTTATCGCAACTCCGCGACGAAGAAGAAGACGACTACGCTACGGCCGATGGTGAAGGCGGTGGAGGTGGCTGCAGCGAACGCAAGGAAGGCCGTGCCGAGAAAAATTGTAGCCGTTGCTGGGATTGCCACGACTGTTGCTCAGATGACGACGGTGTCGATGCTGCTGCGATAGCCGATTATTGTTCTGCCGACCAAGAGGAGCTTACCGCGGCTGGGATTGCTGGCGTTCCAGGCCTGGACGTCGACCGCGGTGTGTTAATTAGACGTAAGTAACTACCAGCTGTACACTGGCAGCGTGGACATATTACATACGCAAACTTCGAGACATCAAACAATTATTTTACCCATCCATTTATTGATATAAAAACGCTTCATTCGCATACAAATATTGCATTGTTATTATTAAAGTTAAAGTAACGCCTTTTACTAAATAATTTAATTTTAAACCAATACAGAATCGACCTCAAGTACCTATATTTATACAGTAAACACTAAACATACTTCTTATGATCATATCTATAATCTATTCGCAGCCACTGACAATCCACTCAACTATTAAAAAAAACTACTAATCTTCAGACTCGCAAAACTATACCTTTGCACCGTCACTTCCTTACGTTAAAAGATCTATAATATAGTGTTTACGCGGCTTAGCCAAAATTTGTTTGTCTTAGAACCCAGTGTACCTAACTAGGTATTACATTTATGTGTTCTTGTAAAGTTGTAAAGTAGCTTGAAAACATTTATTGTTCATATTTAGAAACCCTAGAAAAAAATGTACGGATTATGCACTCGTTTAAATTTCGGTAAATAAGGACGATGTGCCGTAAGTATATACGCCACGTTAGCATATATTTTTTAAACTTTAATTATTTTGTCTTTATTATATAGCTAACCGATTTACGGCTGTCCACAATATCCTTCCAATTTTCAGTTGTTGTTTACACATTTATTATATTGTAATAGCAATTAAAATACGCTTAAAAAGTTTTTAATTTTTTTCTCAAAAGCAACATAGAAATACAATTTTAAATGTTCTTTTATCTTCCACTTAAAAATCAGTATAGGAACTGTCGAGACTCGTCACAGTAATAATAGTATTAAAAAAAAAACATAAAAATAATTATCCGGATGAATGCACTGTAATCTGACGTGTTATACTGATGACGTGGATAATATTATCAAGGCGTAGAGTAATAGCTGTGATTTGTGTTTAAAATAATGTATAGCAAGGACTAGATTTCGATTGATGTCGATTGCGCCAGACTTCACGGACACCGGTGACGGAGGCAACTACAACGATGGCGACGAGTACGTTGATGACGAATACGACTTGGACGTCTTGGCGGTGACCAAACAACGTGGCGGAGGTGAAGATCGACACCAACAGAAGCGAGAAGAACGGCAGCATGAGACCGCCGATCGCGAGGAACGCAGAGCCGATCTGTTCGCCGGGCTAGGGCCCGTTGCCGTGTTTTCGGCGCGGCACCAGTGTTCGCGGCCGCGGTGGGTGAAAGTGGCCCACGGCGGTGGGCGTCATCGTTCCCCGGGCGGTGGCGACGAAGACACTTGCGACGACGACAAATCTGTCGCATCAGTGGATCCAATTCAGCTCGTGGACCGGTGGTTCGGATTTGAGTTGCGCAGCCACGGCGGTGGCACAGCGGCTGCGGTTCCGCCGGCTACCGTAGGACACGTCAGGTCCAATTCTCAGGCACAAGTATTAATGATCTCTATTATTTTTATTTTTAACTAAAGAACGATTACAGGCACTGATAGAATTGACGAACATAATATTATGCATGTTAACTTTGGTTAGTCATGATATAACCAAATAATAAAAATAATATTATAATAATATGTTGATTATGTTGAAATGTAATGACAATAGTAAATAACCGTTGTATAACACGTGCGATGAACTCTTAATTATTGTCAGCTGCAGTTTTTATAATGTGGGTAGACCTGACAGATAATATATATACTACTGTCTAATACTAATATACTATATTTAGATCCATAATCAGGAACTAATCGATCGGAGACGTAAAAACGGATTTGAAAATGATACTGACACACTATATATTTTACCTCATTTGATTTTACACCCTAATAATGCAATATTATAAATATTTGTAAAAATAATTTCCATATTATGAAAAATTCAAATTTTTACCCTCTAATCTGCTTATAGATGCACATTCTAAAATATTGGAGAACTATTTTTTTTCAAGAGCTTACCCATAGAAACATTTTTATAGGTACTACATGAAAGCTAACGCTTACCAAAGTGTCTGGCCTTCAGGATCAGAATAAAGGATGGAAAAATTGTTAATTGCTATGCTCAAATCTCATGCATTATTTTTATCTTAGGTATTTAAATGTTCTAAATATGTTTTCGGTCAAGACATTTAGTACTTGTACAAGTTATTTGCCGAAATAATAAATGTGCTTGTCGTTTTTCAAGTAAACTTTGTAATTCAAAATGTCCCGGATCTTTAACATATGAAAATAAATAGTTTCACAATATATATTATATATTATATTATATATAATAGGTACCTATCTAAATAAATAATATAATAGTATGTTTACCGTAATTAAGGGAAAAAACTTCTTACTTAAATTGAAAATAAAAATGTAGTATATTGACCCATAAATTGCATTAACTGTTATTTTCTGTGATTGACGTGATATGAGTAGAATAATATTATTATTTTCCAATACTTCCTAACCGACAATAATGTAATACATGCAAGCATCTTGTTATTTTAATATACTAATAGAGATATAAGCATTGATTGTTATAAATACAAGTATTTATAATAAATTACAGAAGCTGACGTTTATAATATGTTATTAATTATTATATTAATTGTTGTGTTCTCGATAAAGCACATCGGTCTGAGACGTGGCGACATAGTGGTGGCGTTGAAGTTATGTGCTGGAGATGGTAGCGGCGGCAGGGCGATGGACGTTAGGTGGGAAACGTGCCGCAGGGTGGCTGAGTTTATCGTTCACCATCACCAGAGACGCCGGAAGTCGAGTTCCGGCGAAGGAGCAGTCATCCAGTTGAAAGTCGTCACGCCGATTACTACCGCGGCGGCGTCTGATGGCTACCAGACCGTGGATCCAAACAAGGTACCTATTTACACATTTATTATATGCGTGGATACGGGCGCGTTAGCCAGTGATATTTGTCCACTTATACAAAGTAGAACACTTTCGTCTCAAAAATGTAGTTGATAGGACATGCTAGAATTTTAATATCTTGATTCCTGACAAAATAACGCGTTAATTAGCTTTGATAATTGATTTTAAAATGGGGTCTGAGAGAGGGTATTAATGTGGGTATGAATGTATTAGGACATTAGAAACAATTAGTTTTACAATGATGTAAGTACTCAGGTACCTACTTAGGTTTTTTTAAAATGTTTTCATTTTTGAGTCTGTCATATGCATATTCTTTTGGAGTGGTAAAAATGTTTAGATATTCATTGAGCGTGATTTCTAGCAGCAAATAGAATCTATCTGGAACTTTGGGAAAATAAAAAAAATCTGGTATTTTTCACAATAATCTGCAGGAAAAACAATACAATTTACAGAAAATGGTAGCAGAATGATTACACTTAACACTAGTTTCAAAAAAATGTAATTTGTTATTTTGTAGCAATCCAAGTAAAATATGAACCATCTATACTTGACATTATACTTGACAAATATTTGTATAACTATTTTCTATATATGGTGGTTAGGTATATAGGTACTTAATTAAAAAAAATAATTAAGCTCTTTTGTTACAAGCTTTTAAAAGTTTATAAGTTAAAAATGCATATAAATTTTGAATTTTGATACCTAAAACTAGAATATTTAATCCAATACTAATCAGTTTCTCTACTGTAATTTAAAAAAAAAAACAGTTTACAGTCACAAATATTTTTTTCAATAGCGTTTGAAATTAACATTTTAATGACATTGGATATTCAAACGTATAGTAACAATTTTTGTTATTTTGTTATAGTTTAATAAAATAAATATTAAACGTTGAAATATGAAACTAGAAACTAATACTTGAATTATTATTTTCTATACACAAAAAACTTTCATAATATTTAATCTAATTCTTTTTTGTTTAAATGTTTAAATTATATTCTCATAAACTTTGAGAATTTTGATCTAGTTCAAAAAGTTTTAAAATATACTACATACAAGGTTTCTCATTATTTGTTTTTACAGACATTTACAAATATTGAAAATATATAAGCATAAGTGTTTGTTGCTCTAGTTAGTATAATATTTTTTGAATATGTCATTGAATTACGCAAATTAAAAATTGCTCTCTATGCGTGTTTGAATCTCTTTGGTAATTAGACAAAATTGGATTATATCCATTCTTTGAAGCCCGGAATTGATAATAATTTAAATCCAATACTTAGATTTCAGCCCAAAAGTATACTTATTGTCTTGTCAATTACTCTACATACTTTTTAAAAACTTGGTAATTAGTTATTGATATTTCCATACATAGTTTATTAAACTCTAGTTAAATAAAATGGAATATGCAGCACATTAACTTCATAATTAAAAAAAAAAAAATCTTGCCTCTTCCATTTAAATAATTGTTGTGATAATTCTTAAATATAACAGTTCGTTTTGTAATTCAATAATAACTGACCTCACAGAGTTATATATTATCTATAACTTATCTGTATTATCTCATATAGGTTTATAAACGGAGGAATACAAATATGGCAGCCTTAAATTCAAGTATACATTCCGCTCCACCACTGCCACCCATGATGTCACAGACCAATTCTAAACAACGTCGTCAACGAAGGCAGAACACAAACGGAGGAAGTGAAGGAACCGAGAGTACTAATAAAAAAATTACGTGGTTGTGGAATCCTTTCAGACGGCGGCGGAGAAGCGTAGTCGGCAATAAATGTTAAAAAATGTGCATGGATGTAATGACTGATAATTGTCGTAAAATATTAATGGATGTTAAATGTATACCGTTTATAAACCATAAGACACTTTTAGGATAGTATTTTACTATTATAATGTAAATAATAAATACAAGATATACATTTTTATTTTTTTTTTATATAACTATGTTATCTTAAAATTCAAATTACAATTAAAGCTTAATAATAAACCCCCACTAGATTGCGGGGGTTACTTACAACAAACAAAATTCGATCGTTACCTTAGATTATAAACATATAATAAAAATGTATAATAATAAGTTATTGTTCTATAATTAGTTATTTTCAAAACATTCATGTGTCATCTCTATTGGTATTCAGATTTCAATTAATTAGTAAATGTTGAATATCGCAAAGGTTTTTAGTATATTGAAATGTACCAGTAGTGATGTCATTGTGAAATGTTATATTGATGGTTATAAGTAGATTCAGTTATGTCGACAGTTTTTTGGTTACCTGAACAATTTTAGCTCATTCAACTCACCATTGGTGATAATGAATTAACTCATGTTAAAAATTGCAAAACTTTTTATTGTACTCAAATGTACCAACAGTGATAAATGAAAAGAATCTTAAATACAATTTATGGTGTAAACATGGTGAGGTAGATTGAAATGTTTCGATAGTATTGTGATCTTATAAACAATTTTGAGCACATTCAAATTTTATCAATATTGGTATCCATATTTCAATTAATTAACAAATGTTATTACATTACAGAGGTTTTTATTCAACTGAAATGTACGTAGTTATCAGAAATATATTAAAAACATTTTGGTCATATGAATAATTTTGAGCTCATTAATAAAAAAAATGATGGTTAGGTCATAATTAGTTTCCATAATAATCAGTATTAAATATCGCAGGTTTTAAAAAATTGAAATATACCAATGGTGATAATATTCTTTAATCTATTTCATGGTGCAAATATGCTGAGGTAGATTGAAATGTATCAATAGTTTTTGGATTATTTTAGTAAGTTTGAGCACATTTAATAATTGTTTAAATTTAACTAGAGCTGGAAATTCAATGCACTAAAAAACTAATAAAATGCCCTACAAACATTTATTAATGCCCTAAAAATGTAAAATAATGCACTAAAACCTAAAATTAAGACAAAAATAAAAGGTTCATAAAATGTTTAGGATTTGACATAAATTGTACTTGGAAATATGTATTATATTTTATTTATAATTTGATGATCATGAATTTGAATTTTATGTTTTTAGTAATATATTATACAAGAACTAGTTAAGTATAAGATAGTAGGTTGTTTAATTTTCATTAATTTAAATATTTGTATATGATTTTAAATGAAAGATTTGGTAATATTTTAATTATTTGAACATATAATAGAATATAATTGATACAATTATAAGAATTGTAAAATTCAATTCAATTTTTTTAATTTGAATCTACATAGAATGTGTCATTTATTCATACATAATGCTCTTAAAAATATAAAAATGCCGTTTAAAATCAAAAATTCAAGAATTCACAAAAATAAAAAAATAAAAAATTGAAAAAGGTAACTCAGAACATTTACCCTAGAGTGTTCACTAATAAATAAATAAATAAATATATAAATAAATAAATAAAATTTCATTCAACAACAACAAATGAATCAGATTTGTAATAAAACGAAGAGTATGTAAGAAACAAAGTGCATTGTAATTCCAGCCCTACCTATTACCATTGATAAATTACCATACAAATTTAAATTATTAATGAATGTTAAATATTGCAAAAGGATTTTATTAAATTAAAATATACCAATGGTAATAATAATTTAATGTGTTTAATTGTTCCTTGATTTTAGGGTACATTGAAATATATCGACAATGGCCATGAGGAATTTTGAGCATATAAAGTGTTATCATCATTGGTATTTATATTCCCATTAATTAATGTATGTTAAAATATTGCGAGGGTTTTTAATATATGAAAATGTACCAATGGAGATAACCTTCTATAGTATTTAGAAATGTACAGTTATTTTCATTATGACAGATCTTTCATAATATTAGATGATGATGGTGGCCCATCTAGTTCAGTGTTTGAACTAAAAGTATTAGTAGCTGTGTTACAACAATTTGGAGATGCATTAATATTGGTGTTACTATCTATAGAAGTAGGGTTAAGGGTAGTTTCCAATCTTGTAGGAGTGGCTGCTGTAGTATTATCAGGTGTGATTGGCCTTGGAGTGATATTTCTAGTAGTATTTAAGTCACTGGCCTGCAGTGTTGTTGATTGTTGAAGCTGTTGTTGATGGTGTGATCTGTTGATATGGAAAAAAAACAGTTAATAAGACAAATAAAAAGTAATTTAATCGTACGCATATTTTTTAATAGTTAAAGGCTTAAAATATTTCCATTTAGATTAGACCAACCATTGTACATCTAATACATTGCAAACACATAATAGCATCCAATACTATGTTACATTTTTATAACATTCATGAGACTATAAGAAGGTTAATCTAATGAAACTCCCAATTTTGATCCTTATTATAATTGTACAGTCCAATTGTATATTGAAAAATTATAAATTAATTACTGTATGAAATGTAAGAAATTATAAAGCATTTAAAAAAATACATTATGGTTAACCTGATTTACTAATTTATTTATTGATAAGTGATAATCATTCATACTCGTATAACTGTGACTGGTATTTTTAAGACTTGAATTGAATTAGTAAGTAATTATAATAACTGTACATATCAAATATATCTGGGGAACTATTGTAATAAGGATAGCTGAAGGGCTGTTAGACACTTTCATGTTCTATAAAAGGGAATTAAATTTAAGTGTTTTATTTTGGTGACCCACAATTTATAAAATTATTTTTTATGATTCAGAAGAAATCCAGAGAAAAAAATGTTCAATATTTTTATAAAGTGAAAAATAATAATGATTTATGATTTTAAGCTACTGATATACATAGAAGTCATACATTGATTAATTACTTTGTGTCTGGTAAAATGTATGATAATGTATAATATATTAAATAACTATTAATGTTTTTTTATTAATTATATGACGACATTGATCAGTTTATGATAAAATTATTGACTTGTCACTTGTCAGCCACATGCATTAAGTTAATTTTCATAACATTTGGACTGTATTTAACCCTGTGTGAGATGGTATAGGGAGAATCTGGATAAAACTAAAATTTAGTAATCTTGACACAAACCTTTTCTTATCAATACCAGTATAACCATCAGCTTGTGGTGGTGATGATGATGGAAGTGCAAGAGCCATCTGTTGTTGTAGCAAAACATGCTTATGGTTATAATTACAGTCATTGTCATCGTCTTCATCACCTAATTCCACATTTTCATTCTGCACGTGGTACCCATCCCAGAAAAAATATTGACCATCATCGTTGTAATCATCATCGTCTTCACAAAAACTGTCGCTGGCATATGGGCACACACTGTTACTGCTTAAACTACTCTGGCGACGACCTCTGTAACGGTTGTTGTCATTGCAATCATTGTAGTCAATCATTGAATTTACATCACTTAATGCGGCTAAATAATAAACACATCAAATTAAAAATAATATTGTACAATAACAATAATAATAATAATACAATATGTATAAATAAAAATACCAAACATGATAATTAATTCGAGTCACAGAAAAATGTCAAACCTTCAGCATCAGTTAGTCCAGTGTCATTCATAGTTGATAGGTTGTCATCAAGTTGTCGTGCTGTAGATGCATCAGGTACACCTCTGGTAGAATCATATAGCCTATCTGTCTGTTGACCAGCAGGAGCTGCAGCCTCGTCTGTTGTATACCCAGTGGTAGTGTATCCGTCTCCATCAGTAGTGTAATCATCAATGTCTCCGCCAGTAGTGTATTCTGTTTCAGCAGTCACGATGCTGCTGTTAGCTTCATAGTCACTCATACCTACTGTGAAACCAATGCGCTGTGGCCGATGTTTTTTATCTAGTAATGATGATGACGGTTCTAACGATTCATCGTCGCTCCATGACGACTCTACCGCCATAACTCGTTGTTTACGGCTGTGTGAAATAACATCAGCCGTAACTGTTGCCGGCCCTCTAACAACGGCTACTACGTTGTTCTTATGCTCCTGCAATATCCGTCTCACTTCGGCTTGCTGAAATATTATTATACACATTTTAATCATACAGACTTTAAGCATATAATAACTATTAATTAATATAGAATGTTTCTGACCTGCCGCTTAACTTGTTCCGTTATTTGTCTTTCACGCTCCTCAAATAATGATGCTGAAGAAATACTTGCCGTCGAAGCTGCAGTAGTCGGAACTGATTTTGCTGCTGAGTTCAAAATATCTTTTTCGACTTGTTGATTATTTTTGTCATCTTTATCGGGTTTCCGATCCGTCGTCACAACTATTGCCGTGCAAAAATGCTGTTGCTCTGGCGCAGACAAGTGTTTAGCAACGTTATCATCGACTCCGCTATAAAAATGAAAAAATAATATATTTATATTGGTGTATTAAAAAGACAGAGAATGAAAAACCCGGTACTGGGATTGAAACCTTAAGAACCGGTTCCAGGAGAAAATCTATAAACCGGAACTTTGATAGGAACACATATTTTACAATGCTTAAAAGTTAAAAGTGAAGACCGAAACTAAAACCGGAATTCATTCAAATAAACAATACGTTTTTGGTTCTTTTAGGTTTTTATTGGTTCTAAGACATAAATGAACATTTAATTTAAATTGTGGTTTGATATAGTCAATTAATTATTTTTCATACGAATACTTTTGTTTTATATGTATATCTATGGTATTTTTAAACTCAAATTAATCGTATTCTGCCACTGACAATAATTAATTTAGAAGCATGCGGGTTGCATTTTTCACTTTCAATATATATGAACGAGAATGATGGTACAACCACAAATTATATTATATAAATAAATATTATAATATATATTATATTATTTTTAATATAATCTGTGGTACAACTATGTATTTTTCTAGGAATGTTTACGAAATCCCTACGAATAATAATTTTAGTCATTTATAAGTTTATAACATCTAGCTAATGAGAAATAGTTTGTTATGAAAATTAGAATCGATTTTTTTTAAACCAAACAGGAACAAGAATCAAAAAATCATAAAGGTACTGGAACCTGGAAAAAAACATAAGATATTGAAATGGTATTCACACGGTTAGAAATAATGAAGCTAACGATTATAGAGGCAGTTATGTGGTCCTTTTTAAATCAATATTTATCACTGTTTCATTTCATTCCATGACCAACTAATCTCGATGAATTAAATGAATGAACATTGTTATGTTTATCATCATTCATCTATACATTATGTCAAGTTTACTCATACATAAAGTATATTAACCTAATCCAGTGGATTTAAGGTGTGTAAATAAATATTATATCATAAAAATAAGAAATTCATCAATATTTATTTATTTCTGACATTTAAAATTTTTAAATAGATACTCACTCTTTTCCTTCAGTGTAGTCATCGCTGTGTTTGTTGACTTGTATTTCTTCTTCTTTAAATAGTCCTCCCTGCTGTTGACGAACATTTCCGCGGTGTTGGTCCAATAACAATATACGTCGTATTTCATCCGTAAAATCTGGGCCCACCACTACACCGCCTGTACTTTGGTCTTTACTAGTAACTTGTCGACGCTGATGTTGTTGCTGATGTTTTTTCCATGGCGATGATGACGATGATTCAGACTTCTCAGTTGACACATTTGAGGTAGTGTTCATAATGCCTATAACATCTGGTATAACACCAGCTGGGGGTGTAGAATTTCCAGCTATTGCCCCGTTGTTTTGTTGCTGCTGCCGGCGTCGACGACGGCGGCTGGAGCTGCTACCAGCGCCTGTGGTGGTGTTAGCAGAGCGTACATGGCGACGGTTTAACGATTGTGTTCCTCCAAAGTTGGTAGTGATAGTATGGCCAACGATAGGTGGAGATCGCAATGATGATGAAGACGCGACGGTGTTGTCACCAGCAGACAGCGGCGAGCGGAAAGACGACGATCGTCTAACAGGAGATGAATTGGCTGTCGTTGACGGAGACCATTGATGAAGCAGTAAATGTTGCTGTTGTCGATAACGATGCTGAACGGATGATATGGGGATAGAAGAAGCAGCAGTACCTACATTTTCAGTATCCACTCTGTCAATGCCGGCACAGTCTTCTGTAGTTGTACAACCATAACTGTCGTCCGACGACGAAGCCGTGGTGGTGGTGTTGTAATTATTATTGGATGTTGTAGTACCGCCGGCATCTGTGGAGCCGGATGATGACAATGATGATGGTGGAGATGACACACTGACAAAGCTTCCCACACTGATCGGTGAACGGAACGAAGATGATGAAGGCCAGGCGGGGGAAACTACACCCGGACAACGGTCGTTATTGATATCCTGTTTGGTAACCGTGGGTGGTTGATTGTGCTGACGGCGCCGCCGCCGCCGAGGATCATCACGGTTTCGATGTCGACCGGCTACAGTGTCAGAGGAGCGTGGTGGATCCGGAAGAGGACGATTGGCGTCAAACTTATTCGTTGATGTAGATGTTGTATTCTTCAAAAGCAATACGTTTGGACGGCGTACTTGTTGGGGTTGTTGATGATTTTGTAAAGTGGTGTTAACATTTGTCCCACCAGTAGAATGGTTAGAAGAGGCACATGTAGGTTTGGCTTCGGTAGTGGTTGGTGTGTTTGGCGGCGATAGATGTTGTGAATCACCGAAAATTCGAACTAGACCATGAGGAACTGGCGTCAAAGTAGATGGGTGTTGTTGTTTTTGTAGTGGGCGGGCGTATGTCGCTGCTGTTGATGCGGTTGAGTTGGATGCGCATCGGGTTTGTTGATACTGTTCTGATTTACCGTTAGATGAATGCGAGGCACCTCCTTGTTGTTGAAAGGCATAGAAAAAAAAGCATATTAAGTATAAATAATACAGATAAAATATATATTCTATTTTTTTACATGGATTTCACATCCCACATTTTTGTAACAAAATATAATTTTTCTACTTCCAGCATAAAAATCTATTTTGAGTGATTCATTAAATCCATGGTTCTCAACCGGTGTGTTGGGTAGTATTATTATGTATCAAATATTCTTGAAAACATTTTGATTGAATTTATATGTTATTTATTATAATATTTGGTATTAATGATTTAAGCGTGTCACCATTTATTTGGATTTAAATTATAGGACATTGTCATGAAAAAAAATGTTGAATACATCTGATGCACATACTATAAATATAATCATTTAAAGTTATGAAAAAAAATTGTTGTTTTTCATTTTTTCAAGAGTGCAATCTAAAGTGAACATCACACAAAATTAAAATCCAGTTTTTAAATTATTATAACATAAGACTCAAGCTAGTATTTCCCTTATTGACATTGTCACATTTCTTCTAAAACCTACAGCACGGGTATTGATCTACATAGAAATGTTGCGCGGATAATTTAAAAAAAACCGGTGGTTCAGTTGATACCAACTCAATCATATAAAACATATTTAATTTTTGATAGGTACATTTCATAGACTTTCATCCTCCACACCAGTTCAGTAAGGGACAGTTATCAACAGAGTTTGGGTGAGACATGTTAACTTTTACTTATTATTTGAACACTAATTTAATCTATCCTATGAGTATGTATATCTCATTAACAGTTAGCTACTAGTAAGTGAATATTAAATATTAATAAACACTAAATTCTTAAAAATCGATTAGTGTCCAAAAGGCATTTTTAAAGTGGCCAATAGTAAAGGCAATTATTAAATGCATAATAGATGAATAAAATAGATTTGTTCACATTTTAGCCAAAACATACTAAGCATTTACCTCGTGATCTATTCTGGATATCTGGATATCGATCGCGTTCTTCACTGTATTGGTGTTGCATTGGATATGGCGTCCGCCGTGTTGTAACCGGTGGTGGACTTCGTGGTGGTGGTGGAGGCGGAGGTGTCTTTTGTGGTTCCAAACACTTTTGTCGCAAATCCTGCTGTACCATAGAACTGTAGTGGGAGTGCTTCGAGTGGACGTTGACAAGTGGTACTAAATTGAGTGGCGGCTGTTCACGGGCTAAGTGCAGAGGTGTCGAGCGGAGAACATTCTGTCGAACGGGGGTCTGCTGTTTATTCTGCTGATGTGGTCGGTCTGACTCAAATTGATGGCGAGAATTTTGGAGCATTTGTGGATGATGGTAGTTAGGGGGTTTTCGTTGAACTGAGTTATGCTCATCATCTCGTTCAAAACTTTCACGAACAAAATATGTAAGTATCCTATTGTCTTTGTTTATCATCTTGGTTTGGATATCGAACTCATACTTTGGACTTGGATAATGTATCGATTGCATTATGTTAACAACGCAACTAGTAACTTGTGTTCTACCCGGTACACTAGTAATGTCCATCTGTCTAGCCTCGTTTACTGTATTACCCCAAACATCAAACTGCGGACGTTTCCAGGTTCTGTCATTGCAGCCAATTAAACCAGCAACAGCAGGTCCAACGTTTACTCCTGTAAACATAAATATACGATTGTACACAACTTATTTATTATTTCATATTACAATAAACATGAACACTGCAAGTTGATTTCATTTATGTTTGTATATCAACACTTCAAAAACGATGCCATAATTATTTATTTTCAAAACCATGTGTTGATTATTATGGAAAAGTTACTTTTATTTTACTAGTGGATAGCATTATTAACAACTTCAGGGGATTTGATTCCAGCCTAGATTTCTATCAAAATATAATTATCTTATGCCAACTGCACCAACTATCCTAGTAAATGGATACAACTTTTGAAAACACACTTAAAACCACCATAGGGTGAACTTGAAAACAACTTTCCAATTTTTGAAATTTAACTCGAAACTTCAATACTTAATAATTTAATATTAAGAATTCAAGCAAAAAAGATATTTCTACTTCATGACAAAATCAATTGTTTCCAGAAATTTTATTGAATGAACAAATTACTAAGAAATGACTATAAATTAATATTTTAGTTAAAACCATCTGTATACACTATACATATTTAAAGGTTTTGAAGTGAGTTGTAAACAAATAAGTTTTTTTGAAAAAAATAAAAGGATGAAAATTATTAAATAAGTGTAGAGTTATTTGTGTGAATACAAAAGGCCATAGTACAACATTTGTTAATAAGCATACATATTTTCAGACATTTAAAAAATTTAAATGTTTACTGTTTTTCATTGTCGTGATATTAAGAATAATAGGTAGAGTTAGATTGAACAAAGGTTATTTGGGTACCTTTATTTAATGTTATAACTTAGAAGTGTGCAAAATGTTACACTGCATTTTTTAAATTTAAATTAAAGTAAAAAACATTTAGTTCAACAATATGTTAAAATATAACATTGATCAGGAATATTCAACATGATTATAACCACAATATTTATATTTACTATATTTGTTAATATTATAATGCTTTCCTTGTTTCCATAATGTTTTCTATTTGTTTGTTATTACATTATATTTTGGTTATGAATACTTTTGGTATTATTATAAACTAACCAACTCGAAGAACAAATTGTGTGGGATGCGAGATATTTGAGCTTCCAACAGGAGTAACCGTAGCTGTTTGCTGACGATGTAATGCACGACGCATTTCTCTAATGAAATCCAAAGCAAAGGTTATGTAATTTGCTGATATGATATTGTATAATTCATATTCATTTTCTAGATCATTGTCAACATCTTCTCCTACATGGTAATTTTCAACAAAATTTTTTGTCTCTTGTCCATCAAAATTACAAGATTCCTCACATCTCTCTTTCATATCTTTCAGCAGCATGACTTGCCGACGTTTTGGTCCATCATGATGCTGTAGACCAACAGCTGCCATGTACGTGTTAGTTCCTAACATTTTTATCTTTTCTATCAATCCTCGGTACTTTTGATTATCAAGAAGCTGTTAACAAAAATAAATAAATAATAACTTAAAAATTGCTTATAGCTCATACAAATTACTCTATCAAATTCGCTGAATATGTTGTGAAGTAGTGCTAGCTGTTTATGGCAGTGATGACTGATAGAATCGTTGTTCTCACCACAGTTGATGTTGGTCGGCAATGATTGTTCTTGTTGTACAATTGTGGCAAAAACGATAACTATGGCTCGATAACCACATTGATAGAGCGGTGGTGACAAGTATACAGGTACATGTTCTTGACTTTGATGCTAAGCCATAAAAATAAAATGTTACTTTAAGTATTCAAGTACCTATTGAATTAAGCAAAAAATAATATATAGTTGGGGTTTGAGGATACTTACAGCGGTTCTCATTGGCATCAGTCTAGTTCCTCCTAAAACGTAATTTTGTTGGTGCTGAGTCCCTTCACATTCATCATCAGCATCATTAGGATCATTACTGAATCTTTGTCGCAACAAATTTGCCACGTGGTCTGGTATGACGGCATGCAATGTGCGTCGGTGGGCTTCACGCAACACACACAACCGTCTCATATCACGATCCACCTATACAAAAATAATATAAAATAATAAGCACATGTCAACGAACTTAATTAATTAAATATGATGGTAACTTGTGAGTCCATGATGTTCAAACACGTTTGTATAAGTACTTACCTTAACCCTATGATGTGCGCGTCGATCTTGTAAGCGATGTTTGTACACGAAGCAGGCAAGTGTGGCTAAGGCGAATGCAATCGCGTATACTGTAGCTGTGGCAGTGTTTAACCCAGCCACTCGCTGCTGTTCTTGGTCTAGTAGTTTTAATCTATATACGCAAAGGAAATAAATAAATACTGTTAGTAACAATAAACCAGCATTACAGAATATTTACGATGTATTATAATGTGCAATCATACTGTTGATGAAATACACTTAGACTACTCGAAAATTCCAAAAAGTTTATTATTAAATTATTAACAACCAGGGGGGGGGGAATACATTACTTTGAATAAGAGGTAAATTACATAACCAATTGGACTGTGCAAACTCAAAAACAATTGCATAATGGTAGATGGTTGTAAATATAATCCCAGAACAAATAATATAATTATACTAAAAATTATAATGCTCACAATCGTTGATTTTCTTGGTAGACATCACTGTGGACTGGAGAGTTGATTATTTTATGATGGTCATTGTTATTTATAGTGACAGTGTTGTTTGTTCGATGATTTTGGAACTCTTCAGACTTGCTAAAGATCGATGGTATCGGAGATGACATTGAGGCAGCGACAAACACATGCTTGTGCGTAAAGTGAACGAAAGCAACAGCAAATACGCAAGTCATGACAAGCAATATTCCGATTTTCATCCGCAGCGTTGGCAGCGACCCATAATAGATGGAAAACGCAATAGCTATTGATACGTAAACTAAACAGCATGTGAGTACGGCATACTGAGGCCACATACACGTCAATGGGCTTCGATGTTGTTGTGTGGTATTAACTGTAGGGATGTTGAAATCAAAACTACCATTGACAATAGTGTTGCGAGTATGAAGTTGATCGTATACAGTGTTTGTTGCAGTTACTTCAACTGGTTCACAGGTAAACTAAAAATACATTTGAAAATAAGTATAAAAAAAAAGAGGACAAGTGGGTACTGCCCTGTTGTACAGTAGTTATCGAGTAAGTAATTGAAATGGATGTTAGATTTGAATTAAATGATAAATCATTGCATACAATTTTACAAAAATAAATTTCTCATGGCTACAAACAGTAATTTTTTAATTTTTAAAAATGTCTACCATGCATGGAAAATGCTAATTTAAATATTAGGTGAACATTTGAAGTGACTACGGTTATTAGTATATTTGAGTTACACCAAATAAAATTAAATCGACTTTATCAACATTTTTTTTTGTCTTCCTTGATGCTTTCAAAAACTACCGGGAATTTTTTTTAACTTTGACCTTCCTAATGTATCAACTAAAATCCACATTTCTATCAGCAATGATGCTGATGTCAAATATCGGGAGATTCAAAAAAAAATCATTGTAAAAACAATACATTCGCTACTCAGAATTTAAAAATCATTAAAGCTACAGTATTGGACATGATTGTGTGCAGTGTAATTATAATAGTAAAAGTATGTATAATTATGATGAATATGAGGTAGTAATTATAATAACACTTACAGCGTTTAATAAAGCCAATAGACAAATGAGTAAAACGACGATTAATTCGCAGCAAGCACATGTCCAATAAAAGTAAGTGCGCCTCTCTTCATCTTGATATATCCGTTTCAGATGCCTGTGTCGCCGACGTAATAGATTGTTGTTGTGACTTTGAATTGGTTGTGAATGTTGTAGCCGGGTTTGCTGCCGTGGCGGTGACGTTCTTGCTGTTGCTGCCATTATGGCATTTTCGTTTCGAAACCCAAGTCTGCTTTCAATATCGCTGTCGTCAGACGACATGCAAGACGATGCTCTTTCATTATTTAAACAACAAGTGAACCAATTATGGCGGCCGAAACAACGACACCATTTGAAATAACATTTTTTCCAACCATCACCATTGTCTAAATGGTTATGGGTGGCCATCACGGTATTTGTTCTGCATTGAAATGGTTTCAATAGCCAGGCAATCAATGAATATCTGCTGGGATGACAGACGAAAAAGCGCCTTAAGCATTTATCATCACCATTGCTGCTGCTACTAGTATCACTGTCATTGTTATCATAGTGATGATAATATTCGTCATCGTCAGCAATAATGGCGGTGGCGTAAGTAGTGCTGTAAAACCTGGGACGAGGAATCCAATCGATCAACAAGGCCATCACGTAGATTAGTTCTCCCTATCAGTAAACAAATTATATTTATCAGACATTTAGAATAAGAGTACTGTAACTAATATTGTTTAACTTAAATAAAAAATTACTCACGGCAGTTATAACAAACGGTGTAATAAATGTGATGCCGAGTAACATAGTCCATGGCATAGTTGTCACGTTAACCACGAATAAGGCAATAATTACGCACAGAAGTAGTAGCTGTGACTTGGCTATCCGAAAGAGATCATCGTCGTCGGATTTACTTCTTACCTTCTCGTGATCATTGTTGTTACAAACTACAAATACATCATTTTCCCATCGGCCGTAACGCTCCTAAAAATATAAGATTCACGTGTTTATGATTATATAAAAATAAAACACACAATGCTCACTTCTAACATGAGGTCTCACAAAGCAATCAACCAATACAAACGTGCACATATTAACCCACTAATACTATTTATTAAATACTAAATGATACGTACCATTGATGATGTAACAGCGGAACTGTTATTAGGGTTTGTAGAAGTCGCTTGTTGTGACTCTTGATCAAAATATCGACTCCGTCTATGGCGGTTCCTTTTCATTATTGAAGCTACGGGGACTACAGGAACTAAACCAGCCATTGTCATAGGCATATCCATAACTGCTGTTGTAGAAATAGTTGGCAAATGTTCTGACTCCATCTCTGTTTCAGGCCTTAACCCAGCGACAGCACATTTTTGTCGCATTTCCTCTCTTATTAGTTGTTGATCCACTGATTGGAGGATCAAAGAAACAATATCTCCGCTACCGTTCTCATACACTGTATAATTATCTGTCAAATGTTCAGTATTTTCTGAATAAGGATACTGAAAAAAAATAACAAAATTAATTAACAGTTTAGTTTGTCACGAAAACTTCGGCGTTGACATTAATAGCTTACCGTTGTTCTGGGAATGACGAAATATGTATCGATTCGGTTGTGGCGGAGAAACTGGTTCCTTTCTTCTTCATGACTACGTTCAAATGTGTAGTCATCTAAGATGTCTTTGGAATCGGTTTGATAGTTGATATTGTTGTTACGGAGTTTAACTCCCGGTGGCAGATGATTAACTCTATTCACTGCAGTATCAGGAACTGCTTTCTTAGTAACTTGATTGACAGTGGCACGACTTACATGCACCATTCCGGGACGACCACTGTTCTCAATATATGACGCTACGTGAACGTCGCGGCCCCAAGCACTATATTGCCAACGGCTACCAGAGTCAGACGGAATTCCAGTACCTCCAGTGAAACCTAGCACACCACAAGCTACACGGCCCGAATGAACGCCCACCCGGACATTGAGATTGATTTTGTGTCTGTTGTGGAACCGACTTACGTCACGAACCACGGTACTATTTAATGAAATCAAGATATAATTATTAAATTAAGTATTATTTTATATAATAATATATACTAAGATAATTTACACCTAGGAGGTTGGTATTATGTGAGCGTAAATAATAACTGGAACTGATCTAATATTAAGTATTACTAATGAGCTTGAAATCGATAAACCTATACATTTTTAAGGTTATTACCTGAGTAATAATGTATTAATGAATCTATTAACGGAATTATATAATGAGCAGCAAAAGATATTAAGTATAGCAGCAACAGCGTGTTATTATTCTGTTAAGTATATGAGCTAATTATATATTTGAATTTTCCATACTTGACGAACTTATACGATGTATATAGATTTTAAAAATTGAGTACATCTTATCATTTTTTATGGAAATTATTTAAATTATTGAAATTATTTAAACTATTTAACTTTTTCTTCTAGAAAAGTTAATACTTGAATAAAAGTAAGAAACAATTATATCAGAACTACTAAATATAGCATATTCGTAGCATCACCAGAGTCATAGGTGAAATAAGGCTCTATCGTAGTCGATTAGTTGTGTACTTACTTAACAGCGTCGATTAAATCCAATCCCATTTGGATAGCATTTCTTGCATGTCCATTGTCATTCATCATCCAACTACCGTTCTTGTGTTCATCGTCGTCATATCCATAGCTTTCTTCATCCGGCAACCCGGCAATGAAATACATACGGTGGCCGAGCAAGCGTATTGGAAGGCAACGATTGCGATATGCCAGTTTACGGAATAGATTCGCCAGCAATTGATCAATCAGTGTAATGAGCTGAATGGACGTTTGGGAGCCAGAATTACCATGGCTCACAACTAGTGGCGCATTATCCCAGAATCCAGTGACATTGGCAAAGACAACACTTACATTTTCATATTCTTTTAAATACATTCTAGGCATACTGTTATTTTTAAGTAATAATTCCTGATGATGGTTCTGTTGTTGCACATCATCTCGAAAATTACTGTCATTGGAACCGCGAGTTGCGTTAAAAGAACGTGCAGCATCGGTAACTATGTCGTGCTTCATTTCCAAAAACACGCGTCTGGGTAGTAAGGATGTTAGGAGTTGATTCTATTTATAAAATAAATCATAATATTACATATATGTATTCATAATATGATTTTAATAACTAAATTAATTGAGTAGGAACAGTATTATAAATAGTTGTTACCAAAAATGCACCAAACTACAAGTCAAGAGACGAAAGATATGATTATTTACTACTATTTAAAGCATTATATAATAAAATAAAAAATATATATTTTTATACTTAAGAAGATGCTATACCCGCATGTTTTGTCGCGGTCTTACAAGTGCGTAACATATCAAATTTTACGTTCAGCAGATCACGTTTAGCTCAGTTGGCTTCAAAATTAGAGTGAATAACCCCTTATTAAAATTAAAGGTAAGATTACTACGGAGGGTTTCTCGTGGGCTTCTTGTTATATTTTAATTTTAAAGAGAGTTATGAGTATTTTAAGTTGTACAAACAATTTACAATTTTTAAATACTTATAACTCTCTTTCAAGTTAAAATATAATAAAAAGCCCACGATAAGCCCTCCATAATAATCTTACCTTTAATTTTAATAAGATGTATCAATTTACTATAATTTTGAAGCTAACTGAGCTAAACGTGATCTGCTGAAAGTAAAGTTTGATATTTTACGCACTTATACGACGGAGACAACACATGCGGGTATAGAGTCCTCTTAATAGTTTATTCAAAAGATAATTTAGATGTCACAAGTTTGCTCTCCAACAATTTTACATGTGGTAATAGATTGTCAAATGTTAGTTCGTTAAAATTAAAAGTTGAATATCTGATTTCAGAAGTTTGGAGCACCCTCTACAATTGTTCACAACTCAACATTAATATTATATTACTATAAACAGAAGATACGTTAATATACTAATTCGATCTATTTTACTTGGGACTTTACTGGTTTTCAACCATTTGGGGACATTTTGAAAATATAATAAGAAATAATTAATTTGTATAATAAATTGTAAGTTGTTTGTAATTTTGTATATTGGTTTTATAGTGATGCTCTTGATCTAATGATACTGATTTAACCGACATGTGACAGAACGTCGCCGAAGAAATAGCCATTTCAGAGAATATGACAATAATTAATCGAGTTTTAGACTTATAGTTTATACAGTTTTGTGCACCAACAGGTTATACTCTCAAAATATATGATTTATTTAATATATGTAAACGTGCCATGACATACTTCAATATGTCTGTGCAAGCGTGATTCTCAAAAGCAATGTGATAAGTGCTGGGGAAAAGCTCACATTGTTTTCACACATAAATTAACAAAATATCATTCACCAATTTTTTCAATAAATTATCGGTTGCTGTAAAAAAAATCTAGCACACAACGACGGAATTATACCATCTTCCTAATTTAAGTTCATATAAGATTAAACAAATACACTGTTGAAACGATGGCGCGTATTGGGTATTAACAAGTAAATAATTTAAAGTAGCTGTGTGATTATTTTTAATTTTATGCCTTTATGGTAAGAATGATACTTTTTTAATGCACCTACCTATGGAATCTGATTTACAGCAGTTGATACGGTGAAAATGTGTTGGTGGTATGGTCTCAATAAACAAGAAAATCAAAGAAGGCTAATCACATTTTACAAATGTACATTGAATAATCACAAACATTTACTTGGTAATAAAATATAAGAACAATACTTTTTTAAGAAATACACTAAGGTTTTAATTTTGTAAGTCACGTTATCATGATTCATTAGTTTCTTTTACATATCACATAATTTATAGGTATAGTACAATTTTATGATCAGTTAGAAATATAATTTAACTATAAGCTTTTTGATGTTTGGAAGCAATGAAGAAATTACTTCATGATTTATATTTAAAGCCTCTACAAAACAACGTTTACTGATGGTAAACAAATGTCGATCTTACACAAAGGTTCGAGTTGCTGTGGTAAACAATTTTTAATATTTCAAATAAAGTTAAAGAGTACTTTTATTTTTTCAACATTTACTTAAATTTTTTGTACTAATAAAATGAAACAGTTGTTCAAATAATTTAATAATATTATACTATAAAATCATATTAAACACCAATGTCATCATCGAGTAACACCACGTTATTTTGTAATGCTTTTAGGCTTAAATTGATTTAAATTAGATTCTAGTAGAAAAAAGATTACATTATTGATGAGCAAAAATAACTTATCAATAAAAATTTACGCCTTGTAGAATAGAGAATAGTGTGACAACAGTAAAAACAAAACTGGAGAAAATTGTGAGAATTCATTATATTTAAAATACTAATAAATGCATTTTAAATATATTAATTTGATGATGTAAATATTTCTTATTGAGGAAGTTTTGAATTAAAAATGAATTTGTTCCGACACCTTTAACAACAAATAAATTCTCACTTTAAAATGGTATAAATTGTTTTCAAGTCGAGTAAAATCGTGACATTTTTAAACTAGTTGTTGTTACGGAGTTGGGCATAACTGTACTTTAATATCAATAGTATTGACGTGTACTCACCAGTTTGTCAGCCTGACGGCGCAATGCTATTCGAAGAGATTTGTGTTTCCCATCAAATCTGCAGTTGCCTTCATGACTCCTAATGTCTGTACGGTCGTGGATTATCGTCTGACGCAATAGCCATCCAGCTAGGTTGATGCATGCCAAAACTGCGACGTTAGCAATGAGCTGTTTTTTCAAAAATAAAAAGTAATTTACATAAATTAGAAAGAATATTCCTTGAGTTATACAAACCTGTTGAATAGCCGCCATGGACGAATTGTTCACCAGGCGCGTGTGTCGTTGGTATGCGATGTACATATTAAGGGTTGTGTGGCCGATAGAAGCTACGATACCAAACAGTAAGACGACGGTTGAAACGTGGCTGTCTTCTTTAAAATTATCTTTTATATTTTTTTGGTTATCGTTGTGTTCGTTAATATTTTCGCTGATCTCGTTATCTGATTGTTTGTCTACACTTGTCGGCAACACCAGGCAGTACGAGACGAATATGAAAAATGACACATGCCACAAGCCTTCGTAAAGTGCTAATTGATTTTCATAAAAACCTTCTGAATTATAATAGTTAAGTTGTTCTAACCAATGCTTCCGTCTTTCTGCAGAATTTTCCAGGGTAGGTTCCGTCATTTTATTCACACTTTTATCTCCGAAGACTTCAGATAGTGGTAAAGATGGCAAAATTGAGGTGATAAAAAGTGCAATTAACATGTAGCAACACCACTTTTGCCGTTTTTGCCACTGATACCAAACATAACCAATAGTGACTGCACAAAAAGCTTGTCCAATAAAATACCACGTCGGAGGTAGCAGGCATAACCATCTAAATATACTGCTGCTGTCGACTTGTCTTAACCATATCCACCCACTACCAGATGTCAAGCCATATATATAATATACTGCGGCCATAGCAACTGAATATATGGTATGTAACAGGACGGCCCATACAATCGGTGCTGTTGGTAACGCTGATTGTTTTTTATGAACCCGCTGATGTTGTGATTTTTGAGACTTACGTCGCCGTTGTCGAAGTGGTTGTTTTTCCCAGTCATCTGGTGACTGATAACGGTTGTGTAATTCAAAAAGAACAGCTGGTGACTGTTGTGGAGGCTGCATTGCATCTCCGCCGTACCACAGGAGGTTGAGTCGGTGTTCTTCTTGTTGCTGTTGCCACCTTCTCTGTTCTTCAGTTATGTTAGCGTTATCTGTGGCAGGAGTTCGACAAGTTGAACTATTATTAACCGACGTAGAAATAGTTGGAAATACCAAAGAGTTTGAATTGTGCCCGTTAGACTGAAGACCATGTCGCCAAGATCTTGTGGCAGCTGTCACCAAACCATTCAAAATGCTACGACGGCCGGTAACCTCGGTCCCAACGGGATTCATAATCCCAGTACTTTCGTCTTTGCTGTTGGACTTTCATACGGAATCGATGTGTAAATACGAGGGTTGAATGTGCTATGGTGAGACTATATTGGATCAATGTTGGTGGTATTATTAAAGTAAGTAGTATTAACAAGTCTTTTTTTGGTAAACTGGCAGTAGTTGTTACAATAGTAGGAAAGGGTTTATTCGATATATTTATATATATATATGTAGTAACTATACTGTAACTGGCGATAGAAGTAAATGGCTGCCTTTATAATAGGTAATAGAAATATTTGAATTTTTACTGCATTTGTTCCAGTCATTGACTAATTCTGATATCAATACTATTTTTTTTTTTTGGTACAGTTGTTACGGTAGTAGCCTTGTGTCCCTCGTTGTAATGGTGAAGATGAAATGGTCAAATCGAGCGATGACACCAGTGTCACAGGAACTAGTGGTGACGAAGAAGATATCGTCACCGTGGTGAGAGAGCAGAGTAGTCAGTAGTAACACCAGGCATGCACTTGTACACTTCATGCGTCACACCTAACAACAAAATTTTTATATTTGTTAATAAAATCACAGTAATTTTGAATGCGAAAACCTGTAGTAATTTTTTATATGTATTGAAGTCTTTAGAGGTCCCTGCAAATCACATTAACATTTTTGTCGAAACGATCTTAACACCTGCCAATAACATACCACTGCAGGGAGTAAATATGGTATGATTTTAAAATATAAAAATGTTTGAATTTATAAATATGAAAATTGTCATATACTTATTGAAAATGTATACATTTAGTATCAAAATATTGAAAGTACCTACCTATATTTTGTAATCTTTTTTTTTTGTATTCAATTTTGGTTTTTATCTACTGCATTTAAATTGAACTTAGTTATACATAAACGTATATGACATTTGGCATTTTTATTAGGATAAAAAATTATAGATAAATATGGATAATTTATTCTACAAAAATATCTCTACCAAATATTTAAATATAGTTTGTTATAGGCAATTTTGAAATGTTTTATGTGATTTAGTTCACTGATACATTTATTTATACAAGACGATACAAGTAAATCAAAAATCAAAAATATTTTATGCATGATTTTTTTTGTACACAGTTTCAATATTTAAAAAAAAAATACTGAATCAACGTATTTGACGATGAAAATATTTTTAAAAAAAATGTCCTATCTAACTTCTGAAAAAAATACGTACCTAGCGAATAAAATTGTACATAACATGTTTAACATGAATGATTATTAATCTTATGATTGATTGTAATTTTGCAAACAAATTCTACATGTCATGAAGTTCACTATAAATGTATAGCAACTTGACACAATGTCTGAAATGTTGTAAGTTTTATTTTATTTTATTTTTTCTAAATCCATAACATCATTCGTGTCCCTCATAAGTAAAATAATATGATATTCTATAAAGGGGGTAATAATAAGTAGTGATAATTATGGTTTAAATGAAAATCTAGGATGAGCGTATCATTTTAGAATATAGAAATAATAAATACTTTTATAGAAATTACCACCATACATTACAACGTATAAAGTTTATATCATTCATATTTGTTCTAAATTATATTCAATTGTTTAAATTAGGTTTGGTCGTAGATTTAATATGAATATAGTTGTTGGGCTGTAGAGCTTATACCCCTATGTCTATGATCATAAAACATAAAATGCATTAAAAGATGTTGTGTAGAAGCTCCAAAACATTTTAAGTGATTATAAAAAATAATATATACAAAATGAGTTGATCTAATCAATATAAATAACCTTGAAAATAGTATGAGCAAACCTCGACATAAAAGAAACCGTGGAAGTTATTCTGCCGTATAGTAGATATTAAGTGTTCTTCGTCATTAAAAAAAAAAACAATGTATATAGGTAGGTAATGGATGTATTAGATTTTAATTTATTTATAAATAATCGTCTAAAAACGTTTCTAAGTGGAGGCAGTCTGTAACGTTGCTATTAGTAATTTATTGTTATGATTGAATTACGGTATATTGAACCAATTATTACTAAAAACAAATCACATAATATTATATTGTATAGGTAAGTAAAATTATAACATTATTTCATAATAGCTGACCTCGTCCACATCGTTTCCTGTTAAAAATGGCAACTCTATAGAATATGTAATTTAAACTTTGTTCAATTAATTATTTAATATTCAATGTAATGGTGTTCAAAACTTAAAGATTTTCATTGGCTATCTTGAATCTCAAAATACTTGTGCGAGCACCACTTCAAAATGTTTTCTTGGTACAAAAGTACCGTGAATTGTGAAACTTGAATAGCTAAAGCTATCATTCAATATGCTATATGTTTATCAGTCAGTAAGTCAGTTAGGACACGTCGATTATATTATTATTTTATAGCCCGGCATTGCCCGTGAGACTCACTTGTGACTTTTAACTATGCAAGCAGTTTATTATCAGATACCCCACGAGGTGCGTGAGTAGGCGTATAAATTCTAATTCTTATAAGTATCAAAGTTATACCAAGTTTATAGTTTTTACACACGGCGGATTTAATACAATGTGCCGTCCGATGGTTTTTATTAGCTGGGTAACCTGACTTCCTAGAGTAAAAAATGATCAGTTAAAACAAAATACAGTGTTATATTGGTGTATCTCGGTTTTGGTGTAACCCAGTTCAGATTGTAATAAGCCAGAAACCTTCGGGGTAGTGTATGTACTCGATAACTTCCCAAAATGTCATCGCGATCGAACATACATTAGCTTTTATATATTATATAGAAGATAGCTGCCCCCGTTGTACGTTCCCTTAAAAAATGATGTCACTTATATGATTTAAACTTTGTGTTAAATTCGTTATTTAATACTCATTGTCAAACATAAAGTAGTATGTTTAAGACTTAAAAAAAAAGAAAAGAGATTTAAGTTTAACTTTGATGTTAAACACATTAATTGCACATAATATATTTGTACTAGGACAGGATTTATTTTTGTAAAGATTATGCTTAATCTCGTACGTAAACTTATATTCATGTATTAATTTTCTTTTTTTTTTAAATATAAATAACGCTATTATGACTTTAATATAAAAGTTATAGTGTACCGTCTCTGCCTTTTTTTAAAATTTAATATTCGATGATGTTTTTGTACTTAATTGTCTTAAATTACACCCAACCATTATAATTTATAATGGTTGGGTAAGAAACAAGTACGTTTCATGCTGAAACAAAACTAGTTTTGAAATTTTATTCTGCATACAAATGCATATTTCGAGTTTTTTTGGTTTTAGTACATATTTCTTCGATTCTATACGTTAAGATACGTATTTTCAATAATTTATCATTCTATCAATATTTTTACCGTCGGCATTTTCATTTAAAATTATTTTAAATTTTGATCATATTAATATGGTTGTTGACTGTTTCCACACGCATGTTTTTTCCAGAGACACGTCTCGAGGATTGCCGATTAGATTTATTTTCTGGTTATTAATTTTATTTATGTACAGATATTGTTCACTGCATAAGATATTATCAATACGGGCTACAGGTACGTCACGCGTCGGTCGCAGACATCAACATTTAAATAAAATTTTTATATATTTTATATATTTAATATATTAATACAAATAATGTTATTTTTTCATGCATATTTTGTACATTATAGTGCATATTTGGTGATTGTTTTAGAGCTACAAGTCCTCTGCCCCTAATTATAATATATGGAAATAAATCTTTTCTATTAATAATCGATTTATCCCATCTTAATCTCAATAAAATATTTTTTGCACCGTAATTTTGATGGTATTGACCAAATATAAAATACAAGTCCAAAATTATATTCAAACAAAAATAATTATTTTATTTTTTTTGTAACCAAGGGCAACACAATAATATACAAAAATATATTTTTTCTTCGAGAGCTAATAATCTATTCTATTTTTCAAATAAAATATAGCTTACATTACTTTAAGTCTTGAACTTTGTATAGGCGAAAGAATTTTTAAAATCGGTTAGATAGTTTTTGAGTTTACAAACAAACAGACAATTTTACCTGTTATAGGTATTATTTTGTTAAAGATAACTTGTAAGTCAATATCGATGTATCATTAACGGTAGAACAGTTTAAATAGGTTAATATTTTGATAAACACAATGTCCACAGTAAATAATAATACACGTAATGCCAACAAGTTTTAAGTCCTAAGTAGTATATTATAAGGATATTTTGAGTAGGTAATAGAAAAATACTAGAATGTTTCAAATGCTCATTAAAAATGTAAGTGACTTTACGCTAGATCTTTTGAATTTGTTTTGGGTCAAAATTTGTTGTGTAAATATTTTTACTTTTTCGTATTTTTTCACAATTTTTCAAAAGAACAGAAAATTGTTTAGTTTTGACCCCTCCCCACAGTATCAATTATTATTGATTTTCTTTTTAGACATATTTATTGTAGTTTAGCCACTCGTCTAGTATAGGCTTTTAGATATAAGAAATATAAAACCATTCTATTGTAGAGAAATAATTTGAAAAAATGTTAATTTAATTAAATTGTATTTCATTGAAATTATGGCAAGAATTTATTTTAATATAAAAGTATTTTAACCACCAAGATTTTAAAATAAGGGAAGTAGAGATGAGCGGCCCCTTACCACTATATAGATACTTTAAAAAAATATATAAAATAATTTTTAATTTATCTTTCATAAATGAAGATTATATCGATAAAAATGTATAAAAACATGCAGGCAGGGACATTTCGATGCGAGTAATATCTTTGAGAGATTTTTTCGACGTGGCGTATTTCACTTAAGGCTGTTGAAAATTGGTCGTTTTTTCATGTACCTATTTAGAATAATAAACAGAAGAAAAAATTATATACTTTCAGAAGTCCAATTTTAATATTTGAATTAATTCGTTTCTTGTCAGTATTATGTAGGAAATTAATTTTTTCCTTTTAGTAACACTTAAGTAAAAGTGAATTTTGAAAAAAAAATTAATTATGTACTAGGTATGTATCCTAATTAAACAATAAAACAAATCAAAAGAACATTACCTAGAAAAGAAAATAAGGAATTCAAAATATGTTTTCAAAATTAAAATTTGGCTTTTGATACTAGGTGAATTTTTCTTCAACTTTTTGGGATTTTATTGATGTTGAAACTTTTTTGATCGAAAAAAATAGTGTCGGGTGACATGCGAGCATGTACCTACGTTACGAAGTCTGTCATTTTAAGGTTTTTATTAGTTATTTTTGCTACTTAGAATATTTAAAAAAACATTATTTTTTTATAGGTTTTCTATTATACCTATGTATGTATATAATTTATATTATATTTTAAAATTTTACTTATTAAATGTGTATTAAATGTTAACTTATTCTTTACGTTTTTACTGTAGATTTCGATACTATTTATATGTACACCTATCTAATAAAATAAAAATTGAAAATAATTTTACTGACCTGTGTTTTGATGATGATTTGAGATAAAGGGACGTCTACAGCAGTATGGAGTCTTATAGTCTATGCGGGCGTAACTATTGGCGTCTAAACTGATGAGAAAGCTTTTGTCTAAGAATGAATATGTCTAGGCCATTTTCATCGTTTTGACTACTGTCAGATAACTTTTCTTGTTGTTACATATACATCACTGCAGGCGCACAAGAAATAATCACCGGCGGTCCCCGTTGACAGCTTTTGTGCCGTTAAGTCATGATACCGTTAACTCTAACAAGTGTTTATTTATTTTGATACTTTTGTTATACGCCGATTTTGAGAGTGCTCCACCACGCGAAAGTTAGTACATATTATACATATGCTTACTGTCGTATTTGCGGTAAAATAGAGAGTAATTACGGTGGTCGTGGTCGAGTATATGATAATTATATATATAAATATTAGGTACCTACAACATTAACGTCGTTTTCGTCGCTGGTTTCTGGTGTAACAATTGCACGGTCGTGAAAAGTTGTAGTGACGATTTCGTCTATTGTTCCTGGTAATTTCCATAATGAATACGTAAAAACAAGAAATGACAACGACCACGAGGAGAATCAGCTTGACGATTTTATTTACGAGTATAAAGATATTATAGCGCAAGTTTAGAAATATTTAGGGACTTGAAAAATGACGTGTTTTTGTTGGTTTGAAGGTAGTTACGATAAAATCACAATGATGACAACAATAGTAATCGAGTAGGTGGTATTAGTGGACGACAATGATTAATTGAATACGGAAGAAAAATAAAATTTGACGAACAAGGTAGAGATAAAATGGGATCGAAAATAATAAATACAAAGTGCTAAAAAAATCGAACACAAGAGGTTGGAGGAATAGATTGGCGTTTGAGAGAGGAAAGAGATTGTCGTCCGAGTTGTCGTAGTTGTCGTAGCTGCCGTTGCTGGAGTGGTCACGGTGCGTGAATTATATCGACAAATCGCATGAAACTGTCGAGCATGAGCACAAAAATTTTCCCCATGAACAGCAGATGACAATTGCAGTGGAGGCTTAGGCGACGTCGATATGATGGTGTACGCGACACAACTGTGGAAAGTTATAAGTCAAATAAACTATTGTGCACCACGTAATTGTGGCTGTTAAGAAAATAAGACGTGAACGATTACGGTGGTTACTATGTGCATGACAACAGGTGTGACTGATGGGCACGAAAAACAAACGCTGATAAATAACGACGAGTTAAAAAATTGGTATTATCGGAAATAAATAATATAAGAAATTGTATGTAACGGTGGCTACGGTTAGGACAGCCAAAAGTTGACTGAATGGTCACGGATATCGAAATAGCAACAGCATCCTTTTACCACACTGAAAGTTCGAGTTGTGGAATGGGGAAGGCGTGTAGGAAAAGGACGACCTACAAATCCGCCTACGTTCAATAAAATTTCGTGAAAACCACCCATATAGGCACCGATGGGCGGGCGATCGTATTCTGCACACGCGTCGCAGCAAATTTGTCCAAGGGGTAAATACGACGTTTACATGACGAGAAGCCATTCCTTACCACAACAGTTTATACCTTACCCACAGCACGAGGGTACTGGGTGGGTGACTCACAACGGCTACCAATGACGGAAAATACTATAATCTAGGGCAACAATCGCCGCCCACACTACCACCCCCGACAGTATAATAATATATTCCACGACCCAGTTTCGGAGTGAAAGTTGTTTTTATGCCTCCACTCTGCAGTCACTGTTGATCGATCCAAAACAGATTTTCCTAGGTACCACTACGTACCACTGCCTCCCTCGTAATTGTGCATACACGTTGAGCTGTCACCGCCCTCACAGTAACCCTCTCCCCTTTTCCAACCGATGTCATTATTAAAGTGTTTATCCTGCACTTTTTGGTTTGATTAAGGAATATGATAAAATTACGTTTCACAAATCAAACTTAACTTTGTAATAACTTCATTGCTACAGCATGTAAGTACAGATTTATAATAATATACAAAGTGTAACAAAAAGACCTGACAAATGAAAAATGAAAAATTCATACATGGTAAACATATGAAAAAAATTATGAAAATTAAATAGATAGTAAAATATAATTTAAGATTTAGAGAATGATTAATACAAAATTAAAATGTAACATTATAATAGGGGGTGTAACACAAGACTTGAATTGAGATTAATTTTAAGTAATGAAATGTTCATCATACCGGGATATTACACATATTTTTTTTCAAAGTTCATACAAAAAAATTGGCAAGATACATGAGGGAATTACTATTTTTTAATTTATTACACTTTTAGATAATAACATTTAATGTCTCTGAAGAATTTTTTTAATTTTAATTAGGTACTCATTGTATGCAGTTTAGCAGTTATACACTCAAAACAATTGTTTATTAAGTATTAAATAAGCATTTTTATAATCAAGTCCCCACTTATTCAGTAAAGCACAATAGCATTTTCTGATAATATAAATTAATAGGTATATTACTGTAGATACCTAATATAAAAACAATAAATACAATAAATATATAAACCAAAAAAATCATTATCTAGACTTATTAGATAAAAATATTTTTTAAATATTATTTGGTATCTAATAGTTGGTAAGGCCATCACAACATTTTTTTCACTAATATTCTATGAGTATTAAAGTATAACAATCATTTATGATAGGACATCTGAGGAAATTAGCAAAATCTATAGTTAGCGAGGGTAACGAGCAGGGCAGAAGGGGTAAAATCTACTCATAACTATTAAAAATAAAATAAGCATAATATTTATAAAATAGGTACACACAGTGTGGTCCACTTCCAGATCTTCAATGCTAAACATAATTATTATTTGTTACCATGATACATGTATTAAAATTTTAGAGAAAGTAGGTATGTTTTAATATTGAAAATTGAGAGGGACGAATTATTGATTTTTAGTACATTAAATTCTACCCTTTAATAACATTAGTAATATAATTTTGGTGTAAAAAGTTAGGGTAAGACATGTAGGTAATTATTATATAACTGTACTCAATTGTAACTTGAACTACAAACTTGTGAATTTTGATATCTAAGATTGTTTAATTAAATTTATAAAAAATTTTAATTAAAATTTAGCTTAAATAATATTAAAAATTATGATTTTAAAGCAACAAGCTCTTTAGATTATTTTTGTAGGAAAAGTTTATAATTTATTATGAATCAAAGTGGGGGATATTTAAACATTTCTTGAAATATCTTTTAGTTGAATATTCTATTACTATTTCCTATCATATCTCATCAAAAAATTTTCATTTTGAAAAAAGAACTATTTATCTACTCTTAGTGTGTGTCCCCAAAAAAGTTGTTTATCTATATTGTACATGTTTTAAGTATAAATATATGACATTATTATGGCGTGATGATGACTTGATGTTAATTAGCTTACCTTTTTAATTTTCATGATTTCCAAATTTTTAAAATTATATTAGTAAATGGATAATAAATTGTTGAGAGTAATAAAGTTATATTTTTTACCAATTATTTTAAATTACAACAATTATATATTTATATAGTACTAACTATTAATCGATGAGAACATACTACATAAAATTGAACAAGATTTTGAAATAATTGGTGTCATTTTAATAGTCCATTATTTTTAAGAGGATCATATCTATATAATATGTTGTCTTTGTATGAATAAAATAGCACATATTATTTTAAGAAGAATCCATTTTACTCTGTTATTTTTGATATTAGAGTAAATTGACCTATTTTAAAATTTTAAACACAGAGCCCTCATAAGCTTTATTTTTGATATTTAAAATTTTCATAATTTGCATCAATATTTTAAATATCAATAAAAGCATTAAAGGGGTCCTGGATAATAATCTTACAGTTATGTTTGATAATAGGTCAATATTCACTCAAGTATTAAAAAAATGGTAAAATAGATTGTTCTGTACTAAAATTTGCTGTTGTCCATTAGTAAGGCTAACTTAACATGTGTCAACAGCGCCCTAAAACATATGGAATTATGTTCCCAAAATGGTTACTGTAGGCAACCATGATTTAATTTCATTATTTTAGGTATGTTAACAATTGACTGTTTAGGATTTAATTAATTTTAGTTAAAATTTATATTTATTAGGTATAATTGTTACTCCTTACATAATTTGCTGCTAAAAAATAATTTTCAAACTACGAGTGAATTATATAATTTAACTCATTAATTAATGTTCCATGAAAATAAAGAAAAAACTCAATTGGAGAAAAACTAATTACCTACTCAAGGCCGAATATCCAGGGGGGGAGGTTCAAAGCTTATGAGACGCCTAAGATGATAATCTTACATTTTAATCTTATAAGCTTAAAACTTGGCATGTTATGCACTTGTAAGATAGAGACAACAAATGTCAGTGTAACGTCCATTAAGCATTACCTACTAACCATCCTAAATAAAATTTTAGAGATTTATAATAAGTAACTATTACCTACCTAAATTACCCAATTGCATAGAAATAAAAAAGAATATAACCATAAATAAACTTAGATACAAATGTTTAAATAATTATATTTTCAAATTGTATGCAAAGAATTTAAATTATATATCTTATATAGGCAACTTAATATATATACAAAATATTTAATTATAAATAAATAATAATTAATCTTACCAAATGTATACTTTGAGGTCTTAAGAAGAGAAGCGCAGTAGTAGATATAGTAGAGTAAAATAATAGCACGTGATGAAATATTCTTTAGATAAGTTTATACCACGTTATTGCAGTATGAGATGCAATAAACTGATTGCGAGACTGATTGTTATTTTGTTAATTGTTGAGAAAACCTTTTTCACCTCGTTTTTCACACTGCAATCATCAAAAACATAATATTATGAAGTTTAAGTAAATAATATGGGCCAAGCAAGATCAGGTACAATATGAGTGGGCTATGCGGCCTGAAGAGTAGAGTCCTCCTTTAAAATGTACATTAATTGACATTATTTTTTAACATTCTTGTTCGCCGGTTAATTTTTAAATAAAATTCCATCTTTTAAGTTTCAAACAATATTTTAAATATTTTGTATATTTATGGTTTGTTATTTTCTATAATTTGTATTTAAATGACTAGGATAGACTGTTTTTAGAATCCAGCATAACTTTTTTTAAAAATTATTTTATTTGACTCTAATGACAAGTACCTACAATATAACTACAAATTGTCAGTAAATATTAAATAATAATTTGTTTATAAAAATATGAAAATAAGCTAAAATTATAGAATGTCAGGTCAAAATTTAAAGTAGACTTTTGCCTTTTTTCAAATTTAGACTCAATCTTATAAAATATACTTTTTATAAGTAGGTACCAATTTTTATCGTTGGAGTGTTCATAATACTTAGATACCTAAATGTATACGTATTTAAATCTAAGTTACAGTTATTGATTGATAAATAAGTATAAGAATTAAGAACACTATAGACATTTTTTGTTAATAACCAGTACAGAGCTATGATTAATGTCCTATCCAATGGAATTGACATCATCATAGACCTACTTAAAACCTAGGGTTGCAATACCTACGTCACGGTTTTGAATATAGGGTATGGTGTCTCTATAAAATGTTTCAGGATGGTCAATTGTTATGAAAATAAACTCCAGTAATTTATGTTAACATTTTGTTTTTTCATCAAACATCTGTAGTAGAAAACTGATTAGGTATTTGATTGACTGACATAATCTATTTTAAAACTATTTTCCTGGTTTTGTAACAATAATTATTGACAGATAGGTACATACATTCATAATTTTTCTTAACTCATCTACATTTCAACAATTTTAATTGTGAATTGATCATTTTTGTAGTACCTAACTCATTCATATTTGTGACGTTGAGTTAGTTTTTACATTACAAATGTTATTGTTAAGAGCTAAAAACAGAGACTAAACACTATTGTGGAAAAACGTCTGTTAGGTGGGTACCTTTATTAACAATACCGTAAGCACATATAAAATTAAACAGTCAGAACTTACCACTAAGTTCTAAAAATTGCACAAATAGGAAGCTTGTTACTAAGTCTGTTGGTTATGTTTTGTTCTTGAAAAAGAGCACGGTCGATAAATAGCGAAACGTCCAACGTCACAGATACGAGCGTCTGCCTTTTAACGCGGATGTAAACGTCGGGTTACATCGGCGACGTTTTACAGTGGCGGTGATCCGTCGATAACGAGACACGTACAACGGTGAACGAGAACTGCACCGATCACGAAATTAACGGCGTGAGAAACGAGGTGTGACTAGGGTTCTCGGCGGCCAGAACCGTTTTCAGATTCGCGTTAACATGTTCGCAATGGATAAGTTCGCGGCGTTTATCCACTGAGCGCGGCGCCGATGACGGGAAACACCGTCGCAAGATCTGATGTCGACGTTTCGACGTCGCGGAAGAGTCGATGGCAGATCTGCGGCTACGATACCCCGCGGCCCGCGCACTCCGTTTTCACGTAGTCCGCACGTTTGCCGGCGGACGACTTCGCCCGCGCCCCCGCTCGACCCCCACCACTACACACCGCAGGACGACTGTGCAGTGTGTTGAGCCGGCTTCCCTTTGTTTACAACGCGATAACGTCGCGCGGGCACCCACAACTTCACTCAAAACACGGACGGCCGGTGCACGACTGATAGACCGACAATCGGAGTTACGCGCCTTATAACCGGGTGCTCTCACACAATCTAAAATATTTGTTGTGTTCTATCGTACAATTTGAATAATATTGTTGATAGTCATTGCGATGGGCGCCCGTGTGCCCGCGCTGCTGACCGGTGCGAATGGGAACGACTGTCGTCGACCGACACGACAACCGGTCACCACGTTATCTATCCGTAGGCAGCTCGGACGTCGTGTCGTTGGCCTGCCGTTATCGTCTCAGGGTTATAACAACAACAATATTGTTGTTGTTCCTCGAATATTGCGTTATTCCCGCGAACATACATAACGTTATTACTAATTACGTTACCGCCGGGGTCATCGGTCTGATGCTTCCCGTGACGGATTCCGTCGACCAAACCGTTGTTGCGGTTGTCCGCCTCCTGTGAGCGGGGCTTACGACATTGATAACGTCAGTGGCGGCGAACGTTATCAACGCAAAGCAACAACCCACAAGCGATAGAACAATAATGACCATACATTTCCATAACTGCTTACTGTCACATTCGTAGCAAATCGTCATCATTATCATCATCATCATCATCATCATTATTATTATTTTAATTGGAGAATGCGTTGCGCGATATAGAATTAATAATTGTTCGTCGGTATTACACAACGCGCGCTCACACACACGCACACCCACGGCGACAACCAATTGGATCGACTTTCGTGGTTAGTTTGTGTAAACAGGTAAACTTATTATAATACTCCTCTTCGTCTCGTCCTCGACGATAATTATTGTTTACACGCACTTGTTATTGCACTGTTATTGTTTTCCCATATTGTAGACTCGGGCTCGTCGGTGGCCAAATTGTTTTGATAACCGTGTCCTCGCAGACCGCCGCCGCCGCACCCGCCTCGGCCACTGTTCGATCTCAGCGTGTGAGCGCCCCCTTTGTTTGGCGCGCTTGTATTTTTTCGCCGCCGACGCAAAAGAAGCCGGTGTGGGGCATAAAACTAAGAAGAATTTCGGTCATTTCGGTCCTTGTAATTTGTGGTCAGCTGAAAATTAATTACTTGAAGAGGACATAATTTAGGTAAGTGTTTTTTTTTTTACCCCCATGGCAAAGGCGTCAAACGCTAGTCAATAACAGAGTACTATACTCAAGACGATGACAGTACAAGTTTGATTGTGAATATTGTAAATTATATTCCTATGCTCTTTGTACTGGTATGTTCTAGTGCTGAACTACAAAATATCTTAAGTTCTGTACATTATGTAAAATCTAATTATATTGTGTATGTGCATGTGTTATTAGCTACTAAGCCATACCACCTCATTGGTGTCGACAGCAAATATCATGATTGAACCCATGATGTCTTAAGTTGGTGAGCAAGTGCAGTAACCTAAAGCTTTTTACTTAACACACAGTAGCAGTAGCATCTACGCACATCTTCTACATTACGATCACTACTCCTAGAATGAAGGTATTGTGTTTGTGTTTGATTATGTACATTATATTTTATGAACACATACATGTATGCATAAGCTAACAATACGAGAGGCGTTTGAAATTAATCTTAATTTTTTTTTTTTGATATTTTATTGCACAAAATTGTCAACAATTAATTATATTTTATACAACATAACTAGACACATGATTTAATATATAAAAAATAATTTGAACAATTTTATAAAAGCTCATTTGAATTATGTAATACAATTATAATACAATTTGCCTCTGCTGTTAATTTAGTTTATACGTATAATATGTATTTCATGATTTACCCCTTGATTAAAAAGAAGAATATGATGTGAAATTTTGATAACCAAATAAAATAATTTAGTTGTTTAATTGTTTTTAAAATCATAATACAAGTGACGCTGTTTGCCGTTAATGTTTGTGTCTTTAAATTAAATTGTTGTACCTAGGTTTTAGTTTTGTATGATTTTGTGGGTGAACCCGGCTCCTCAGAACTATCAGTGACTGCTGGTGAGACATTGTTGGTAACCCGACAAGATGTCGGTGAGGGCTGGTGGGAAGGAACAAGTCCATCTGGCCGTACAGGCTTGTTTCCAGCGGCTTATGTTGAGGTATATTCATCTAATATCTTAATTTGTATAATTGGACTATTTTTTTATTCTTACTTATATACATCAAATGTTAACAGGAAATTAAAACCAAAGCAGATGACAGAACAGATGAAAGCAAACCACCACCAGCTTTACCACCGCCACCATTACCACCATCAACAGATCCATGGGAAATTGACGATCAACAAAATGAATTTTATTCACAAGTTCCTGGCAGTCACAATCAGCAACAAAATGCATACCCACATCAACAGGCCAGTACTTTTACATACACAAAAAAAAAATTATAATAACAATACAATAAAATGTTGTTTATAAACTAATGAATATGTAGGCATACATTAATATTTTATACTCAGATTTCTTAAAATAATTAATCTTAGAATTTGGACTTAAATTACCGATATTACATGATTATCTGAAGTTGGGTATAAATCTTTTATGTTTTTGTGTTTTTGTTATTTGAATATTACCTAATTTACAGTTTGAAAAATTAATTATGCTTAGTTAAATAAGATTTTTTTAAATTTAATTAAAAGGAATAAAATATCATATACATATCTAATATTTAATAAATATAAAGGTCATTTTAGCTGATATACTTTATTTTAACTTAACTTTTTTTGTCTCGGGTGAAATCTTAATTACCTATGTTAATATATAATCAATTAAATATAATATGATCTATGTGATGTATTTAAATTTGTACATGCATTAATATTTTTTCTTGAAAACTGATAAAATGGCCATTGTCCAATTATCAAACATCTCTGGGATACCAATTTCAGTGGTAAATTATTTTGAAATTAATTGCGTTTACAGTCACCTGATGATTATTATGATGATGAATGGGACGATGATTCTGAATATGGTGGCAGCAGTACTGTGGCTTCATCTGCTGCTATACCTCCAACTATTCAGTATCCAGCTATAGGAACAAAGGCAACATCGATAAGAAAAACAACAGGTACTTAAACATTAATAATGTCAGCATAATTATTTTAATGAATTACATTTTTGATCATTGTAAGCTCCCACAATTTATCAAAAAAAAAAAATGTAAAAGAATAGTTTAGTATAATGTAATTTGGTATATTTTATATAGGCAAGACAGCTGGAACAACTGGTGGTAGCAGTTCTCGGTTTTCAAAGTTGGTAGGTGGTGGTGACGCTTCATATATAATGGGGGCCATTCAGCCGCCCATCCACTTACCTGATACAGAAAACATTACAATTGTTGTGCGTGGTGGTACTGGTGGTGGCCCTATGGCAGTAGATGTTGAATGGTGTCGAGACCCTGACGATGAACCGCAGGGATACCAGTGTGTTGTGGCATCTCCAAAGAAGGAATCAAAACTCAAAGGCCTGAAAACATTTATTGCATACCAAATAACTCCAACGGTATATTTATGTTCTGCTAAGTTTCTTATGCATCTTTTCTACTTGCATCTCTTATGCACTTGACAATATAATATATTATATAGTGTCAATAATGAGTAATCTGGTATAAAAAAAATTCCTTTGTGCTGGGTTGCATGAAAATTTAACTAATTGAGCCACTAAATCGTGTTTAAAGCACCATTTGCTCACCATTGATTCAATAAATGTTTAGTGATTGTTCACGGAACCCAGCAATTCTGCATTAAAAAATTATCTAGATTGATTTGACCAAATATCTACTGAAAAACTTGTCAAATATTTATCCTTCAATAGCTTTTAATTTTTAAGCACTTATTTTTAATTATTATTGATACTACTTTTAATGAGTTAAAATATATAGTATTTGTGTATTATGTACATACATTTTATTTCCACCTGACTTATATGTGTTTTAGTTCAACAATATTCAAGTATCTAGAAGGTACAAGCATTTTGACTGGTTACATGAACGGCTATTGGAAAAATACTGCTGTCTAGTGCCAATACCACCATTACCAGATAAACAAATTTCAGGTTAGAAGAATCATTGAGTAGACAGACACCTACTTGTGGATCTACTTTATGCATACATAATTTGCTATAGAAAATCATTTGTGAAAAATATTGATTTTCAAACCCAAAATTATATATGTCTGATACATTATTACTAATTACACTCAGGTCGGTATGAGGAACAATTTATCGAACGGCGTAAACAGCAATTACAAGCGTTTGTAGACGCAGTTTGCCGACATCCCGTGCTGTCCCGAGGTTGGGTATGGCGGCAGCACTTCATCACGTGTACAGACGAGAAACGCTGGAAGATAGGAAAGCGGAAGGCTGAATCACGAAACACAAGCGCTGAGACGCTCACTGGTGCCAATGTATTTTTTGTAATTAGGGTAGTGTCTGCAGATGGTAGTAGCGATCCCCCTCCACCTATCAACCCAGCAATATTGTATGTATGCTATAATGTAGTATTTAATTATTTTTTTAAATATTTTTATTCTTTAATTTTTGAAGAGACCGTGAAGTAGATGGATTTCAGAGATTTGTGGCTGGACTGGAGGGAGCTTTAAAAAATATGGCGCAAACAGTTGCAGAACAATCAAAACGCATGCAAACATGTTATAAACGTGATGCGCAACGGTTAGGCCAGTCCTTTTATATGCTGGGTCATGCATATAGTGGTAAGAAATAGTATATGATCAATAACCTCTGTTGATACCCTAATATTATGCTAACCTATAATTTTTTTCATAACAAATTTATATTGTAGGAGCATCATCTTCATCAATAGGAGACACTAGTGGTAATGGAAATGTGATAAGTCTAACTACCCGACAGCTGATGGCAGCACTAAAGAAAACCGGTGATGTGTACAATGAAATGGGTGGACGACTGATGGATGAGCTACCGGTTGTAGGATGGGACTCATTTGCTGACATGCTTCATGTGTACCGTGGTGTTGCAGGCGCGTTCCCTGATATACTAGCCGTGCACAAGGTAAATTGCAGACTTGTACTTGACTTGGTGTATTATAGGTTTATACTAAGTCTAGTGGTAACAAATTATACTGTATTTATAGAAATGTATGTAATTTTCCCATTATTACTGGTTGAACTACTATTTGTTGTCAACATTGTCATCTACATATACTTTAAAGTCTATGCAATTTTTGATGGTGTGCAATAATCATAGGAGTAACCTTATTTTGATTGTAATAGAGTGCGGTGCAGAAACGGAAAGAATGTGAACGACAGTACTCGGAAGGTATACCAATTGGTGGCAGTGGTGGTGATGGAGCAGGTGGATCTAGTGGTGGAGCATCCTCATCCGGCTCTGGTGGTGGTGGAGCTGTAGCTGTAGCAGACCCAGAACAACAGCGGCGACTGCTCCGTGAGATGCAACGTCGTACTGACGTAGTGTCATATGCTCTGTTAGCAGAGATAAATCAATTTCATCGAGATCACGTTCTTGGCCAAATGGCCGGCCACGTTCGCCAGCTTTTACGAAACCAGATAGAATATTACAGAAAAGTTAGTATCACATTTATAAGGATAATCATAATCTACCAAAACTTGAAATAAAAAAATTATATAAACAATGTATAATTGTTCTGTAAATGTTAGATATTTGTAATTTTGCAGAAAAAATCAAAATTCCATTATTGTTGTATATTGTTATGGTTATAGTTTTAATATAGCACTGCTTAAAATATAATAATAATGTTGTTTGAAATGTATAAATGATGAATGAAAATATTATTATATTATTTATAGTTAATTTAAAGACTTTTATATAACTCATGTTTTCATTATTAAGTTTTTTGCTAATTATTACAATTTTTTAACCTTTGATAATCATCATTAAAATATTATTATTGAGCTACTATGATACTTTCTGAAATATTAACAATATACAATTATTTTTTTTTTAGATTGCTGACAATTTAGAAAATGTGTTACACATGTACCCTGATAATGGCGATGAAGACCCTATAGGAGTTGGAGTAGACCATCATTATGAGCAACAACACTACAGCCAAGGATTAATTGATGATAATGCTTCTTATCAACATCAATATTATTCAAACCAATAGTAGTCTTAATAAATTAGAGGAATGGGTTGTATAAAACATGGTAAATAACTAGAATGCAATTGTTTCTAGAACTGCTTAATGCTTATGAGTAACACATACCCATATTATATTAGGTATTTTATGATTAATTTTTTTTTAATTATCTGTGGCTGTCAATATCGCACTATACCACCTAAAAAAAAACTATTATCATTCTTATTAAACATATCAATGATATTTTTTAGGGATTTCACACTATAACTACTACTAGTACTCTTACCGTTATCTTTAAATGAAACATTTTAGTCTGTTAATTGTTTTTAATAATACTTGATTATTGTTTTCTTTGTTATTCCAACAGTGATTTTTTTCAATTTATTACCGTGTATTAGTTTTATTACTATGCTTAATACTATTATACTACTATGCGTATGCCCATTGTTAATATGAATGTTACTAGGGGTCGGATTTATATTTTTTGTCAATGTGTAAGATATTGTTTTTAAATTTATGTAACTATAAAAGTTGCCAATTGGACATACTGAAATATCATAAAAATTGACAAATCGTGGCGTATTTAATGTTTCCTAAGAGTTTTTATAATATTAATGAAATGTTATGATATTTATATTAAGGGGGCTACAGTCTGTCAAGTTAAAGCAATTTGTGATGATATTAAAATGACTTATAAGTGTATGCAACGTAAAAGCACATGAGTGTTTGCGAGACTAACCTGATATCGTTTTTGGTCAATATTTCCTAGAAATTTTTTGAACTATAACAATAGACACTCGTAATACTGCCCGACAATTGTTCAATTAATTTAGGAATTCACATGCATTGAAAATGATATTATATTAGATAAACTTTTTTCAATTTAAAAACGTTGACAAGTTAGACCGAAAAATTGAAAAATTTGGATCCAACAGATTTTTATTATGAAAATTAAAATTAATTGGTCATTGTGTGTGTGTTAGTTAGGGGATGGCGAAGAAGATTTAATTTATTCCAATTCTTCGATAAAATATTGACAATTTAAAAAACATGAATTTTGGTACCTTAGTATTTAAGTACACCATTATTTTTGTTGTAACAATGTTAAATTGACTCTGCTATGTCTTAGAAAAATTGTTGAAGATTTTCAACCAGTTTTCGAAGTTGAAATCTGTCAATCCCTAAGTCTCACCACTTGTCTAGTTTTGGCCTGTTTTACGTGATTATTTGTACAGCCTCCTAAAATCTTTCAAAACTCAATTTAATCAGCTGAAATTAAAAAAATTTATTTTGAAGATCTGAAATGTTCTGCAACATATTTATATTGTATTCTTATCATCAAAATTGGTTGAAATATCCAAATTTTGTTTAAATACAATGACTAAAATAATATGTAATTTTTAACACTATAATTTTAATGTAAATTATATATTTCCATTGATAATTATTAATAAAATCTAACAAGTGATAATTTTGACTTCAAACTTAATATTATTGGGACCAATTTTTTTTGTAATTAATAAGCTTTCATTGTATGAATTTTTTTCCAATTTAAATCATGGTATTTGTGTTATTTATATAATTATTGATATTATAATTCTAAGAATATATTATATTATATTTATTATATTTTTATTTTATAATATATATAGGTATACATCTATGTAATTTATTTTTATTTACTTTACATGTGCCATTGATTGGGTTTTAATTATTACATATATTTATAATATTATGTAACTTTGTAACTTAAAGGGTAAATTAAATGCATGTTAACTGAATTTATGTTTTATATGTGGTACGAGTGTATTTTAAATTATTTACTTAAAATAAATATGTATCCTGTGGCTAGTCTGTTAAATATGTTATTATTATAAGTTATTACTAATTTTTTTTCTGTTCATCAACACCACCAATATTAGATTATTATCTTACCAACACTAATTTTGGGCGCAGTGTATGTACTCATAAATTACATATTTTTTTTAGCTTATAATTATAGATTGTATTGCATTTATAATAGATACCAAAATACAATTACCTGATACTTCTATTTTTTATACTATATACATGTATTTAATAATAATTTATATAATAACTATATCTATAATACTTGAATTAAAATATATTTGTATACTTATATGAAATTAAATCTTAATTCTTAATAGTACAATTTTGTTGTGGACAATTTATTAAGTTATTTCTTATATAATATACTCATCCTAAAGGTCTTAAGTTTTAAATAGTCTAATTGACTGTCATCAATCATCACCATAACAATAATGGCTATGCGGCTTAATGCACACACAGTAATTGTAATAAAATTGTATTTAATTTACATTTGCCCAATTTCAATAAAATCTATAAGTGATAGTGCAATATTTGGATCTTTAAAAACAAGCCGTTGTAATTTTTCAAGTTTGTAAAATTGTAATGACAATCAACACTATATTTCTGCAGCAACTGTTGCCATTATTTTTAAGTATGAATTGTAAAAACCTGTGATTACTTACTGATTGAATGCATTCACCGAAATCCTAAAGTGGGTTGTTTTATATATTTCATGAAAAATGAAAGTTTCCAATACAACACTGACGAATAATTCTTACTTTAGCCTTGTACAAATCACAAACACAATTGTGTGAAAACCCTGATGAAAAGATATATTATTGTCTTATTAATAGTGTAACAGTAGGCACTTAAATATATCTACTTAATAGTTGTGGGAATAACCCGTCCAGTCATCTTGGTCTGAAAACAACGTTTTGATCAAAATAACATAATTCCACATTACTACATTAATAAATCCAAAAAAAATCTATGTGGTTTTCAATGTTGTTCAAAATCATAACAGTTATCGGATGCAAAGATGAACTGAAACGGGTTATAACTTATAATGCATGATGATAAAATATTAAAATAATAGTCTTTACGCTCGTGTGGCTATTACTACGGTAGAATCGAACAGAAATACTGAATTATAATATGTTTGGTATATTATTATTATAGTCGTTTATAATATCATTGTAACAAGTGTGAGAGCACCGCCGGGCAGACGTTATCGCCGTTTCCGGCCGCCGGACTTAACACCACCTATTATGCCACTAATGCCTGGCCGCCGGCAGATCTTGCGTCTCCACCTCGACCCTCGCCTATGTCGATACCGCGGCAAACAGTCGTGTCGAGCGTGTCGTGTCCGTCTGTTGTAGTAGCGTGTGCGTGCGTACTGCGTGATCGCGTTTGCCGGGCGTTCAACGACCGCGGGTTCCGTCGAGTGGTTTTTACCTATTATACCGAGTGGTTAACGATAACGTGCAAATCTCCGTGCTCTACGATCGATATCGCTCAATTCGCGGGTTCTCCGAGATCAAGAATCCTGAATCGTCCGCTAACGACCGGAGTTGGTATACACGGTCTCTGGTATACCTGTGCGCTATACGCGCCCGGGTCTCAACCGGTGAGTAAAACGTGGTTACAAAATATTATATTATAGTATAATGGCCGTATTGAAATATTGACGCACGACGAAATAGAAAAATAATATTTTCTTTGTCATGATATCACGGCGGGCGTTCGAGCAATTTAGCGACAGGCGACTGTCATATTATTAGTGGTTGCTACGATTCAAACAAACGCTGATCTGAGTGAGGCGTGGATCGTGTGAGTACAACACTCGACAGGCGGCATTTTTAATTGATATTGTAATGACCGATCGAGGTAAATCGGAGCTTTTGCGATGTCGCTGTCATCGCAATTTTAGACATTTTATAGTTCAATATGTACCAAGATATTGGGTAGGTGCTTTTTGCGTATCAGTGGGTGGGCCAACGGCCGACAGTCAATACCTAATGGCCCAATGGCGTCATTAACTACTCAATTTCCAAGTATTATAAGTAATTACAACCGAACCTATACGACAGTCAATCAGAATCAAGTTTATCGTGTTTCTATACATTTATTTTTTCAGATATTCTGTGGTATGCCCTTGAAAAAATGATAAAATAGTGAGGCTCCGGAGGCAGGGGCACTAACACGTATCAAAATATGTATTGTAAAAATAGAACAAATCGTAATTAATATATTTTATAGCTTAATAATAAATTAATAACACATATAAAAATAATTATTTGGTGCGAGGCACAATGTGTCAATAATCAATATCTTAAATACGCTGTTATTGCTACTATTATAATATTATTATGAACAGGATCTCGTTCCCGAATTAATTTAATTTACGCATATAAATAACTAAAAAGTTAAAATAAGTATAAATAAGTAAGGATAAAAATGTTTTGATTTATTATTAACTTGAGACAAATCATTACGACGACATATTACATTGGACTAATTGTCTGTAAAAAAAAAATTCTAAGTAAACAATCGATTTTATTCATGAACTATTATCAGTAAATATAATTATTATTTAGTTATACAGCTAATTTTGCTAAATACAAATCGATTATGTAGACAATATTACAATAACAATATTATAATTGTTTGTAAAATGATATCGTTGTTTAATTCATAGAAAAATGTAAAACAATGTGGTATTTATTATGAACAAATATGGCTCAATTAATAGAGGAATTTAATCATAGTTCATATCGTTAGGAACGCAGTTCGAAGAATTATCTACTAAAATGACGTAAACCAAATCGCTTGAAATGAAGTCTTACCTTATCATATGTATAAAAAAAAACATTAATGACTGACGTATCATTATAATGATCTTTAATCTCCTCCACTTCAAAATTCCGAAAGGATAATATGAAAAATTCATATAATCATATCTTATATTGTACAATATAGTTGTACTTATACGATCATAGTGACTTATAGTAATAAATAACTCAAAAAATTGACAATTTATACATGACTCCTGTTTTTAACGTCAAACTCCGAAATTCTTTATTCGATCTTTTGTGTAAAACCGGTTGTTGATAGTTCATCAAACGGATGGACGCCAAGTCTCTAATGCGATCGTAGCCTTAGCTAACAAAATACCTATTAACGCATGCACAGTGCACACTGCTGACCTATGCACGTAATATAAATACTAAAAAACTTAGGTCTTCGCTCTTATACAGAACACGTAGGTACCTATACAACACCCAAAACATACAACGATAATTAATATTGTATTATACGAAAGTAGAATCTACATGACGTAAGACGTTTTCCCCATAGGTAGTATAGTTCAATGGTTGTCGTTGAAAAGTCTAGGATGAACGCCTACGCCAACGAATGCGCCGATTCAATCTCAGCTAATAAAATTCTATATTTTTTTTATTTTTAATACTATATTAATTTATTCTGTAATTCAGATTCCTTTAACGATTGCTTAAGTTGCCGTCGTCGTCATCGTCGTTGATAACGGGTCGGCGCCGTGATAACAGGGGCACACCGCCTCCAAACAACCCCACCACTACCCGTTATTGCTCTCGAACAACAACGTCGACGGAGCTAATCTGTTTATTCTGTTGATGTTCCCGAGTCGGACGACGTTCAGGGTTTTTTACATATTTTTATTGTGTTTTCGTTACCGCGTACGCGTTCACTCCGATGTCTCTGTAAACGTCACGAGGACGGAGAGGTGGACGAGCGTGTCCATTAGCGAGACCGTGTTGCGCGTTCTACACGGTCGTCTAGTGTTGTCTGCGAGGAGACGAAAAGATATCGACGACCGTGGATTTTGTCCAGTGGGATAAGTCTGTAACGAGGACGACAAATCAGCCAAACTGTGTATGACCCTAGTTGTTGTCTGCCATGTGTGAAAACGCTATTCACCCCGTAAGTAGAACACTTTCTGCTGACTATTTATTTTTTCCTTACACTTATGCGTCAGTTTGACTCTGTCATACGAAATACATCTAATCTGCGAAACATCATATCTGATCAAATAATGTTTCTATATAGTACATATTATACTGTTACCTTCCATTTGCATGTACATAGCAGTAACTAGCGTGTACGTATTATAATTTGGTATCATCGCAACTGTGATATGATGGTCATTGGTTAAATAGTTGAGATGCTTGTAAAACCACTTGGATAATTAGTACCTACATTATAACAATTATCAAGTTGAAATGCAATCATTTTTTTTTAAATTTGATTAAGGAAGACGCTGAAACTGCATGTGTTGCCTCCGTCTTACAAACGAACAACATGGAAAATTTACCTTGAGTAGAACTAAATTCCTGTTAGTCTTAACATAGGCGTTACTTGGACTCTATTCACGTGGGAGCAAAAATAATTTTTGTGAATCTACATATTTTCATAATCTTATTTAAATTCAATATTTATTGTAAAATTGTTTTATCATTTTTACAACCATTTTTCATTCAACTCATTTTATACAAACATTATTTTACGTGTACCTACCTACCTACTATGAGTTTTATACCAAACAATAGTAAAATTAGCCTGCAATTAACTAATACTTAATAGTATAGTTCAGTTAGTGGGGGCAATGCACCCACCAATTTCTGGTCGGACGGCAGTTGCTCCATTGCCCCCCCCTCCCACAAGTTACCCCTACGAGTTTTAATATTAAAGTGATAGACTTATGGTCAATCTTAAAAGTATGTATCTAGTATTCTATAAAATAGTTCTCTTATTGGTTTTTTATGGTATTTCAAGTTATGAGCATTTTTAAGATTAACGGAAAAAGTAGCCATGGGAAAAAAAGGCCCACAAAAATAAAAGTCTATGTGAATGCTATACATTTGAATTATTTTATATTTTTAAAATATTTTGTTGATCATACTCGAAAAACACTAATGGAGTACTAAGTATTTTTGAGTACTGAAATATCCATTTGTCAATATTACCCTGCTATTGATAAATATTTTGGCTAGTTTGAGCAAAGCACAGTTTATTTTATTTATATTGATGAGTACCAAATAACTTAAATTAAATTAAATGTAAAGATGCTTATCAACAGTTGGGTAATGAATATGAAATTTATTGATAGGTGGTCTATTGGTATGTATCTGTTCTCTTTGGATCCAAACCATTTACATAAGGTTAAACTTGAACAATGAAAAAGAAACAAATACAATGTAATGTTCTTATAATTCTGCATAATTTCAATTTAAATCAATTAAATAGAGAGTTACAATTATAATATTACGGAATACTTTTTTTTTTACTTTGGTACGAAGACTGGAGGAGAGAAACTGCTGTTAGCATTGCTTCTCCTTCGGCCCTCGTCGTTTATTGTTGGAAATAAACAAACACGTTATATACAACAATAGCATCTGTTGGACATGCCCTCTCGACCTGCAGACTTTTTTTAGCGTGTTAATGTGTCTGATAGGGATCCAAGCTTGAAGGGCTTACTAAAATGTTATACTTGATTTGACTAGAAAGATGAATGGGTCAGTTATCATTGTACATGTGTACTTGTGATTATATTTTTCAAACTTATATTTATTACACTTAATTATTTAAATTTATTACATTTATACCTCGACTTATACCAAAAAACAATTAACAAATCAACAATCAAAGTAAATTTAACATATTAACTATACATTTTTTCATATTTAAATTTTTGGCATGGGCTTTTTTTCTTTGGTGAATTTTTTCTTATGGTCTTTTTTTCTATGTTTCCATTCTATATACCTACTTATTTTAATATTTTACATACGCATAGTTCTCTTAATAATTAAAATATTGTTAAAATAAAAGGGAAAACACTGATAATTTTCATACCTTCAGATTTAATAATAGGTGAGATAATAAGTAAATTGAGAGGTAAATTCACTGTTATCAAAACTTTCAATATTTAAGCTAAGAGCATAAAATTGGATCTATTGAATGCAAATTTGCTCTGTTGTATGTTTGAAAGACGGATATAACATGGGTATGTTTTATCCTTTTAATTTGGGAGTTAAGTGATTATAATATACATATTTTTATTGTGAATTTTGTTTAATGCACATTAATTATTTTATAAGATGAATGAAATCAAACTGACATCTGGCTCTTATGTGCTTAAATATTAAAAATTTGATATAAACATGGTAGCTTGAAAGTAAAATCTCGTTAAAAGACACCGTACAAGAATTGTATAACAAACTTTTTGGTCTCTTAAAATAGTATGAGATTTAGAACCTCTATAGGTAGCTATCTATTTATATTCTATAAACTGAATCTGTCAAACATGAAGTTGGATGGGCAATTTTCAATCAACACATTGGCGGTCAGTCGTAAATACTATTTTGTTCCAAAGGCATGCTTTAAAGTGGCAGTATATGAACCTATAGTTAAATGCAAATAGTTATCTAAAATAATTTGCTTTAAATTGACAGTGCCTGAATGTGCGTTTTGCATGGGCAATACATATTCCTCTTTCATAAAAAAACCATTGGAATTATTACTGCTATTACAGTAATTCCACATTTTAGAGGGCTTTTAGAGTACTGCTTTAGCGGTAATATTTTAAACTGTCAATATAGATAAAAATAGACAGTTAGTTACTGCAATAGCAGTAAAATTGACCGACTGTCAAGACTGTTATAAATTATTATAAATTAGTTTAGATACCTATAGGTACAACCTAGAATGAACCTTATAACTTAATACCTTATAACCTTATAAATAACTTATCAAATCTTTCAAGCATGATAAACATGAAAATAGTATTTTAGATTTTACTTGTACCAGAAAATAAGATTTGTATTAGGTTTAAGAATAGGCCTATTATAAGTACCTATATTTAGTGTTGGGAAGGTATCAAACGTTATCGCCATTATTTATATTTAGGTAGGTAATAGTAAAATTAGTAAAATATACCTGTTTTGCGATTTACAATAATTCTTTATGAAAATTATCAAATAAAAACAAAAATTTGCATAAAATAGATTTTATTTTTATCTTGTATTAAAAGATTGTATTGAGTATTTTGTTTTAAGTTTTTTATTTTTTTGTTCTTGTACTGAGTCTAAATTTAGTGGGTATATTTTACTAGTTAATTTATTACTTATTTTAAGTAGGTATTATTTCTAATTATAGAAATATGTCAAATGTTTCATGTTGTGTGTTTTGAAAATATGCTTTTTGTAGACTAAATAAAACCGGCATCAGCTTTATTTATCATGTTATGGTTATTTCCATGGCTAATTCTAAATTAATTTTTTTAATAAATCCCTTAAATTTAAGCTGCTTATAAATTAGATTCCTATCGGTAGCCCTGGGAGTAGATGGTAATCATGATAAAATTATTGACAATATTTTTATAAGTATAAGTACTATCTTACAACCAACGTAATAACTGTCCAATACCCACAGAACTTTATATATATAGTAGGTATATATTAAACATTTAATAACTGTGTTTAGATAAAACTTAAATTGTTAAATATATTATTTGATTAATTTTACCCATAGTTTTTGAATAGTAGGTAAACCAGTAAAAATAAACTCTGATTTTTATGTTTATATAAATCTTGACAAGTATCTATAAATCAATGAGAAATTGTAATTCCTCTTGTTAAGCAATAAGTTGACTAAAACTCTTTAAAATTATGTTTATTAAAATAAATTAAGCTTGGTAACTTGGTAAAATATAAAATTATAAAATACATGAGTACTTAATAGCCAATATGTTCTTACATTCAATGATAATCAATTTTTCACTAGCTATAAATTAAATTTATTCTTAATAAATACATTATAGTTCAGAATATACATCGATAAGTATTTAGGTAATAACTAATAATTGTAATTAACATACAAAAATGTAGGTACTTTTTTAAAGATAATTTACAAAATGTGGAAGTGAGATCTTGCATACAGCACTTTACAGCACAATGGCAATGTAAAAATATTTAAAATAACTCAATTATTGATTGCTATGATTAAAGCTGGATTCTTTAGTTTCTTTTCAACTTTGTTTATAAAATTTCTAAAGGAATTTGATTATTTCTTTATTATGAGAAATGAACCACTTATTGTTTCGTCTACCTAATATATATTTTTTCAATGTGTGATATGTTCTATTTATATAAATTCTATCTTTATTGTAGTGAAACTTCTTTAGGCATGTTAGCATAAGCTGGATTTATGAGCTGACCCGTTGTTACCAAAAAGCATTGCGGTCGTGGCTTACTCATTGTCTATGGTAATACAGTGTCAATAACGTAGTATATAATAATATCTCTGAATTCCTCCAAGTAATTTTTTTGACTTCTATGCTATACACAGTTTTAATAATATTGTGCAAGATCATGCTCATCTCTCTATCTCGCTTTCTATAAATGATGTTCCAATAAGTTCTACTGGTATAATTCCCGAAGTGACAATGGTGCAGATTTTGTAACACTGTCTTTTAATGTGACATTTTGTGTTCTATTTTAATTTATAAATTAACTACCTATTAATTTACACAATTAGTTGCTGCAGTCTATTATGCTCACTTTTAACTGCTATTAATTGTACAATGTATTGAATACAATTTTTAATTTAGAACATTAGATTTGAGACTTTTGATAGATGTGAATATTAATATAGTATTCATATTCATAATATCACCTTTCATTAATAAGAACAATGAATAATAAATCAAAATATGAAAATGGAAGTAATCAATATTTCTTAAAAGATCTGTTTCTACTAAAACTTTATGACTATAATATTCCATTGTTGGACCTAACTTTGAAATTATACCAGTTGGTCTGCTTCTTTTGGATGTTTACACATTTAACATTTATTAAATAATTTGTTAGTTATTAGTGATTAACATTAATAGGATCATAGTTGTCGATGTAGTACGAATATGCCTA